ACCATTTAGATGCTTGCTCATATGGAACTTGTGGAGGGGTACAGCTTTACCACACCACTTCCCGGTGAGTGGGCAGTGGATCCCAGAATGATTCTCTGTGGTCTTTTCTAAGAATAACTCGTATTCACTCCCCCAGAGCAGTGTCCGCTTGCCTTTCCATTCCCTCGTTCCCTGCTCACCACCATTAAGTCAGTAAGTCTTCTGGAGCTGCCTTTGCCACTGGAAAACAGGACGGCCCCGCGGCTTCAGCACGTCCAGCTCCTGCAGCTAGTCTTCTTCGCCAGCTTACTCTGCGCAAAGTGGACACGTGCTAACCCGGGCATCAAATGCACCCAATAGCACAAGCCAACAAACTAGCTAGGGTGGCAGTCTCAGTGAGAAGGTAGATGCAGCCAGGCCCCATGCGAAGTACTTGCACAATCTACAGTGGAAGAACCTGGCACTGTGTGCCATGACTCGGCCGTAAGCTATTCACTTCAATCCAATCCCAGACATGCCTAGAAAGCGGTCCCATGCCTAGAATGCTTTCCTACCAGTGCTGTTCTTCTCGCCTTCTCGTGAAGCTTGTAGATCGCCTTCGGGACGAGCCTCAGGTCAAATTCCACGGGAACCCCAGAAGCTCACACGCGCACGACCTAAATTATATGCAGTTGGGGATTCAGGGGCCCTTAGGGATAAGGATCCTGCCTTTGGGATACTCGGTCCTTTTGTATCCTTCCGTGGGGCTCCACAGAGCAATGTCGGCTTGTTCGGTTTATGTGGCCTGTGGGCTGTCGAGCTTATATCCCCTGATCCCTTAAGCTAGCTATAATTATTTGAAGGGTCGTTGTGCTGGTCTGCTCCGTCCAGGTTTCAGGGCGTCCTGGACCAATCCCAGCTGATAAGACCAGCACGAAATGAGCTGGAGGGGGACCCAGTTTTGCATGGTATGGCGTGTAGCCGCTGTAGAGTTATGCCTGATGCCTACGATGAAGTTCACAAAGGACGTCAGGAATTGAGAAGGCCAACAATGAATCACAGACGTTTGAAACCAAGCGGGTTTGACGTCAGTGCTTCGCTGTTGCGACGGAATCTAAGCTGCCGGGCTTGGAGGTGGCCGTCAGGCAGCCGTTGTCAGGAGTCCTGCGCGGTCGTCGTGTCATAGCCATGAGATGGGCATTTTGATGTTGAGGTCAGGTCACCTCTAAGTATCCCTGACGGGAAAATGCCTGACAGACAGGCTTCATGATAATCCATGATTCTCGAGACAGTTCTAGCCGCAAGACATGCCACTTGAAATCCGCAGCCCGCCAAACCCTCAACTCCAACCCCCAAAACAACTGACCTGCACATTCCTACAGCTATCGCTAGATATCTCCAATTTCTAAACTACATATCCTTGAACCATTGTAATCCTAAACCGTACAGGCCGGGGCAGTCCATGGCTCCAACACCGGCATGACCGCTGCCGCTTGCATCAGTGCCGGGAGCTTTCCAGCCTCGAAATCGCATTCGCGCGCGCTGGCGATATATAGGGATAATGGAAAAGAAAATGCAAACTACCATAATGGGAATACATAGTGTTTAGGTTTTAGTTTTTTTTGGGTTGAAGAGTACTTGGGGACGGGCAGGGTGCCCCGTTTTGGAAACACCAGTGGATCTGCCCACAGGCACTATACTTTTAGTCAGCTATCCTTGTAGTAAAAAACAACTCTACTACAACAACGGGTATGTACAACCTCTAGTCTGCCCGCTTTCTGCCGCTTGCAATGCAATGTCTTGCCTTGGCCACTGCGTCAAGAGCGGACTTCACCGCGGCCATGACCTATCAGCTGTGTGAGTGTATGAGCAGGTACGCTGTTTGCAGGGAGCATTGTAAGGGCAGGGCTTTTGGTGTGAAGTTGGGTTCAAAAGGGCTATGAATGCAGGATTATGTACAGGGGTTCTTACGCTTTCCTTTGCGCTAAGGCCTCTCTATGTTGCACCTCCGGAGTCAATGGCTTGCCCGCTACTCATATAAACTGCTACCGACCAGCTCAGAGGCCTGACCCAAAACTCCCAAATAGGGATTGTCCATAAATTTAATCCCATAAGATTCCAAAGCAAACCCAGACCCAACACCCTTCGACTGGCCTTCGGGTCTCTGCAAAGCTCCTCTCCATCCTTCCCAGTGACCTGCGGTGCGTGGGGGTGGCATAGGGATTGGGGTCAAAAGGTTTGGTTTTGGGATCGAGACTGATTTAGGAATTTGGAGGCCACGCTCACAACAAATGAAGTACTCGAGGTAGACTATCCTTATCATGACCACTCGACGGCTTTACTACCCAGAGGCCCTAAACGGCAGTATTTCAGATAAGGAAGGATTCCGAGTTGTATGCAGAGTTCCCTCCATCCGCCGTAGTATTGGCGCGCGCGCCGTTACTGTTGATCATGGTATGTCACGATTGGGGTATATCGTTTTTCCCGGCCCGGTCCGGCTCGATCCGGCTGCACGGGACGAGACACGCGATAATACGCTTGGTTGGGGGTCTAACCGAGGTATGTTGAACATGGTAGGTCCCTATGTGGGCGTCATTGAAGCACTGTTAGGACAAGACTAGGCAACCAATATTACTGAAGTAATGGCAAGAAACTATACCGCCCCTTAACATCATGGACCTGATGTTCTTGCATCCATTACACTAGCTCAGATTACCTCAGCTGTCATATGCCCATCTCCCAGCAACAGGGTCCCATTACGGACGTTTCTTGGAATACGAGGATAATCAACATAGAAGTCCCGAAGCAACCATCCCGGAACGCACAGCCCAGAGACCTAAACACTACCGACACTACCCTAAAAACAAGAACCCACACCTTATAAACTGGAACACCCCGAAATGCCTTACAATCCGAAACGCAAAGCTGAGAAGCCCTAGAATCCAGCTCTCGACCTACCAAAGTCCCGGGCCCCACTCTTCGCTGCCAAGTCCATGAGCTCCTTCCGCTTGCCTTGGCAGGTTCTGGGCTTGGAACTTATTTACTCAGAGGTTTGGGGTTTTGGGGATTTGAGGGTTTGCGCTTTGGGGTCTAGGGTCTGGGCTAAGAGCTTGGAATGCCAACAAGTCTGGGTCAGCAGCCATCCTGCAAACCAATTCTGCCTTCATCCTACGGTACAGTAGTTCTTCAGCAGAAAGCTACTCTGAACTATGGGCCAGTTCGTTCACTGGCAGGCGTGAGGGTTGTTCAAGGGTTGTGTTGGTGGGAGGTCTCGCGATGGGTGTAACCTATAGGGATATAGAGGCAGAATCTATGGGAGCTAGCTACCTCGGGAAAGTCCCATAGGATGCTGCCAAATCAAAGGCGACTCAGCCCGGCACACTGAGCAAGCAGGACAGGTCTATCAATCTCGTGGCTGGCGAAGGAGCACACACCTGGGGATGTCATCAAAATACTTGGTTCCTTTCTTTCTCAACTCAAGAAATGGGAGGACATTGTTCTGGGAGGAATGTTTCGACTTCGGGGTGCCGAAAGAAATTCAACATAGCCCCACGAACGCGCTCCCCCTGACCCCATTGTGTACTGAGCCCACGTCTAGCAGGCCCTCAAACATAAAAAAGTCCTGGAAGTCTTTATCCTTAAACCGTAAACTTTTTTGCTCTGAACCCAATCTCCCCCTAGACGCCCAAAGTAAACCCCCAAAGCCCTACTGTCCAACCCACTCCCACCTCCGGCATCTGCGTTGATGATCTCTGCATTGTTGTAGGTGACCTGGCCAGGAGGTTCTCAAACTGGGGTCTACGGTTTAGGCGGGTTGAGGCGGGTTTCTAATTACAGGGATGCTATACAGAAACTGTATGGAAACTCAACCCTGCCTAAAACTGGATTGACTCAACAAATCTATTGAGGCCAAAGCATTGATCATCTCCAAGGCGACATATTCGCCTCCCTTCAGCTTCACCTGAGCTACGCGCATCTTTGGCCGGGGGATGGGTGGCTCAAAGGGTGGAAGTGCTTAAGGCTTAGGGTGACTCCTCATCGTCCAGTTAGAGACTGTGTATGTATTGAGCTTTGCAGGGAGTCGTTGATGTTCCTGTTTTACCTGCGGTGGGTCGGGAATGAAGAAATGGAGACTACTCTGGGGATCCGTTGTTCTTTTCCTTCCTTCCCCTACTAGCTGGCAGCAAGTTCTGGTGAGAACACGAGGATCCAAGAACAGAAGCATGCATATTAGTACCCTGAGCTTTGCAAGGTCTGCTCCATGTGGGAGTTTTCCAAAACAAGGGGCGCTCTTACCTAAGAATTGCTAAAGGACTTTGGGTATGGACTCCCTAGTAAGCACACGTCCCCTGGACATGATAAGCGCGCAGCTAGGTTCTTCTTGCGGTCGATAATCTTCACCCGACCTACATGCGCGAGTTTGTGTGTTGCGGCTGCTGGCCAGCTGCGCAAACCACTACACTAGACAGGAACCCGCTTCAGCGTGATCTCCCAGACAGTTTGTGGGGACACCGAACCTTTAGCCCCTGAAATTGTTTCGGGGTGGATGGAACTTTGCACTAACGTTAATCCTACGATTGAGCCTCAGGGGGCGTAATAGTCTTGCTTCCTGTGACTGAGGAAGGAATGGTAAGGGCAAGAGCTTTGGGGCTCCAGAATCTGGAAGCTATCCATTTGGAAGCTTGAAAATCAGTCAAAAAGTGTTTTTTGTTTTTTTTTAAGCGCTCCGTTTGGTCTGCTAGTCAAAAAAATTTAGGTCCCTGCCATAGGGTACTTGCTTGGCCCCAGACACTTAGGAAAGACGGGGCACCCCAAACAGTACCCAAACCCTGAACGGCCCGAAAGGCTGTACTCAATAGGAGGTGCCGCGGCAACAGTACGTCCAACAAGTCTTCACGCCTGCTACAAAACCCTTCTTTCTCACGCCTGCCGGAGTGATCAATCCGATGTCACCAGTGTGGAACCTCAGGCAACGCGGAAAAAGCGGAGCGGGTGAAAACCTTTTTCTTGGACCGAAAGCGTGGATCCTTGGGGCAGGCCCGAGATCCTGGGGCCGAACCTGCACGCAAGTTGCCCCTCTGGCTTTGCCAGCCCCTCGCGTCAGCCGCTACATCTACTACGATAATGGGTTCCAGGCAAGGATTGTACAGGTACACGAACACTCTTCAAGATGCTGATGTGCAAGGACTAGGATTTTTTTTGAGGGGCCTCCCTCCAGTACGGACTCCGTTTCACGCCAACACCCAAACGACTTTGGCAATGAAAGGTCCCTGTAAAGGTACACGTATCAAGCTCTGCATGCCGAAAGACGAGATCCCGTAGCAATTATCCTACACCAAGATCCTCGCTCAGCCCTCTAAACCTAATCCATGATCCTCAGCACGAATTCCCTTGAAAAATCCTCATGTCATCAGTTTCCTCAAGGGCCTCGCCACCCGTCCTTGTCGAAGTCCTCTGCCTGTTTGCCCAGGGAAGGGTTCGGCCGAGGGAGAAACATTGACAAATGCACGTTTACAAATACACATACACAGTCATACGCAGATACATGCATCTTCCTGCATTTGTTGGCTTCACTTCTGTTCTATCTGGTTCCGGGAACTTGCAGGTACCCTACATCCTAAACCCAAGCAAGGATGTGGCGAGGTGCCGCAGAGAACTGCTGAATGGATCCATTTAGCAGTCCTATACAAGCCCATTTCATGATGCCTCTAATCATTGTAATCCATTCCGTCCTTCCTTGCTAGTCACCGGGGAGTAAGTTTGGCCGAGGTGCCGTCTTGTCTGGAAGCTTGTAATATCCGGAACCGACGGAAAGTCCTCGGCTGGGTCCGAAACAGTGCTGATGGCCCCACAGTCTACCACAGGTTTCAGGAGTTTGGGGTTCAGGGCTCGGGCTTGTACTGTTTGTACTTGTTGAACGCCAAATCGCCATCACACTGAGGGCCTGGCCCTTGATCCAAACCTCACCACGGCCGCAGCAAGGCTCACCGAAGTGATCCTTTCTGGCCCACATAGATTTCAAGTTTAGTGGCCCAGAAGTCCCGGATTTCGACGGCTGAGAGTTTTTGTTTAGGGGTTAGTGGGGGATCAGGCTGATGCTTATTGAGCCAAGCAAGATTACGTACACACTTTTCAGAAAAGAAAGAAAAGAAAAACATCTTCCCCTACTTCGGGAAGTATAGCCGCAAAGCATAAGCGCATGACCTTTGTTGCATCTACTAAGAGTCTTGAAGTAGGCCTTCCGCTCGCTTCAGACGTTTTGAACCTGGGTCCTCCCATCCACGCTCAACAATACCCTGAACCCCGAGACCGCAACCCCAAATTGCACAAAAGCCCCAAATCTGAAACCTAAAGCCCAACAACCTTTTCTCCCCTTAACTATGGCCTCATCTGTGCACATGTAGGGCTTGCCGGCTGTGTCAGTGATCTCTGGCCTGAGATTCTGACAGGCTTACGGTGTTATTGAGGGTTTAGGATTTCAGTTGCATAATGTAAAGCCTGGAGACTTACCAGCACTGTTTCCCATCCATCCTGGTATGAGTCTGAGTATCGTACAATGTACCCCGAACCAAGACTCCAATCAAACAAGCCTCTAGATCTGTGTGTTTAGGGTGATTGGGGTGGTTCTACTTGAAGCCACTCAAGATGAGTGGTGTGAGGACGAATGCAAGGGCCCTTTTGATTAGAATCCGATGGAGCGCTCCTGCAATAGTTCTTTCAGGATGCTGAATATCCAGGCAACTACATTGAATCCGGAACCCTTGCTGCCCTTGCTCTGTGGGAACCTCGCCCTTCCGGCGAATATATCGGATATCTTTTTCACTATGTCTCACTGCATCTCTCTCATCATCACAGAGTGGGGAATACGTAGTGTCTGAGGTTGGGGGGCGATTAGTTCTTGTCTAGCACCACTTGCAAGTACCTCTGACCCTCACAGTCCACCCTCCCTCAAACCAACATGGAACTCCACATAGCCGGCCTTTTTCACGCCAGTAGTCTAGACTAGTCTAGACAAGGCCTGCTTTGTCGTTCCATTTTAGTTTGGGGGAGGCCAACCCCTGCGATCATCCCTTCAACCTAGGGCCCCCCACTCGGAATGCAAAGTGATCTCTACGGATGCCAGCGGTGTGCCAACAGCTCCGATGCTCGGATCCATTGGATTCTGGATCCTGTCATCACTTGGGTCTTGGACGGGGGCTGTAAGGCTTAGGGGATTATCCAACTGATGACTGATAAAGGCCGCCGCGTTCTTGCAAGCCTATTTGGGTGCATACGTGAAGGACGCAACACGCGAGCCATAATTTTTCAGCATCCCTTATGAGATCTTAAGAACCCAGGTTACAGCCGCGAAGCACAGGTCGTCTGCAAACAGCTGCTGTGTTTGGACCGCTGTATGCTGTATGCAGCGGTTTCATCCTCAGTCCTGGACACTACATGTAATCATTTCGGCTTTTTTGTCACTTGAAGGGGAGCATGTAAGCCTGCGTGAGTGCAAGATTAACTGCAGCACAACTGCCGTGCAATGCGCACGTTAAACCATGATAGCCAAACAAGCCGTCGCAACGTAGCTCCTCCGCAGGTTTCCGTAAGGCCTTGGGCCATGGGGAACCCAGAAGTAGCTTGCAGGCTACACTTGGTTTCGGAGAGGATGGGCTACGGGTTCAAGAGTCCAGGGATGTTACGTAATGATTTAAGGTCGAGGATAACGGATAGGCGTTCAGGGGTTTAGGATACCATGGTTTGAGCTGTCATTTTTCTCCCTACACCTTAACCCTTCATCGCCTGCTGCCAGCGGGGAGGTTCAACAAATCCAAACCCCATGGAAGCCCTGAACCCTATTGGACCTGAAGCCTTTGGCCCCAAACCCTACACTCCTAACCCATACTAGGCCGCGCACCGTAGCCCTGAACCAGTGGACAGGAGAAAGCTGCCTGAGCTTCGAGCCGGTTGCTGGTTGCATGGGATATAAAACCCTATGTATTACAGTAGTTTCCATTTTCTTTTCCACTATCCCTATATAACCCTAAATTACCCCTAAATTGCCTCTATATTACCCTGTATTTAGGGCTTGGTGCTCCGAGCACGCATGAACCTATGGGGATAATGGAAAGGAAAATGGAAACTACAATATTATGTATAGGGGCTATAGGGGTTATATTGGGGTTATATTGGGTTTAGGATTTCGGGTTTAGGATGTAGGATCCAGCATAGCATGTAGGACTTCTGGCCACGTGAGGAGTCAGGTGTGGTATTCCTTGCAGGGGCATCAAACCCAGCAGGGCATCAAAATCATCTGCAAGCTTGTGAACATGTGGGTCACACACACATACAACCACATGATATTATCATCTGCAGCAAATGGAGAATGGGGGCCCATTTTGCGACAAATCATACCCAATCTGGGAGCACCACCAACTTAACTCAAACCTTACTTTGCTAGGCCTTGAAAAAATGAGTACCTCCCCCAACCTTTTGGAAGCCATCAGCGCAGGCCAAGCTAGCTGCGGCTAAGCTCAGCTCCAGGCCCTGACCCATTCCTGCAAATTTTGGGATTATGGGCTGGGTTGGGGCGTCAATGGTTGGTGGCTTATGGATTAGGCTTTGGAGTCTTGGGATTGGGGAGAAAGTTTTCAGGACTGCTCATTGCGCAGGATTTAGGTCTAGTCTTTGCAGTGATGACGATTTAGGGCTTCTAGGGACTTGAGGAGGGACTCCTCGACATGGGCCCTTGTAGTTGGGGGTTGCAATATGTGAGCTGGCCAAGGAATGAGGGGGCATGGTCTTGGCGCATTTAGCGGTTTTTTCTCGAAGTGTTTGACGTGACATGCTCCTCTGCAAGGGGACCTGGCAGAAACATGACTGCCGACCTGGCTTCCGCTAGTGTTGAAATCTACTCCTGTTGCTATATGAGTCAAAATCTAAACTCCTGGTATCCCTTAATAAGCCCTAGAATACTCCCCTATATAATCCCCCAAATAACTCCCTTTAAGTAGTTTAGACTATAGCTCTTATTGAAGTAGTCACTGCAGCCAGCTCTTGACGGGCAGTACCCCCCCGAACAATTTGTTCGTTCTGGTGTTCTACAACCTCACCCTGGACCCTACGAACCTGAAGCCCTGGACCCCATACCCCAAAAATCCCAACTCACAGAACATTAGCCTGTCGCTCTTTGCGTCCTGAACTTCTCCCGAGATGGCGCCACCGCCAGATAAGGTGAACTTCATGGAGCCGCCGAGCCTGAAAGGGAGTAGATAAAATATGGCTCTGGGCAATCCCATATTCTCTCTACTGAAGGGGGACTATAGGTGTAGGTGTCCAGGGTTCAGGGGCTTCGGGGGTTCAGCGTTGGGCTTTGGGGTCCTCACGAATGACAGAGATGCACTTCGGGGGTATGGGAAGGTCGACAGGAGACTGGTCTTTTTGCAACATGAACATAGATACTGGCAAGAAAGACATGCTGAAAGGCCTCATAGGATTGCCTGCTGCTTCTCTGATTAACTCAACTGATTGCTTGAGTCTTGGAAAATGTTCAATCTTGCTACTTCCGCTCCCGTTCCTAATGTTCTTTGAATGTCTAAGTGCTTAACGCACATTACCATGAATTGTATGGAATGGTAAGGGATGGTATGTAAGGTATGTATTTCTTGCTTGCATGTATGCATGCATGCATGTATCCATCATACATACGTGTGTACATGGTAACCCATCTTCGATCGATCTCAGATCTCAAATCTAGGGCTCCAGCATAGACTTGAACTTCTTGAAAACCTGCAGGTCAAGATCTCTTTTGCGGCTCCAATATGCAGGCTTCTTCTGGGAGCAAAGGGATTTCTGGTGTGCGTAAGCAAATGATAGCGGTCCTTCTTTCAGGAGCATAAACATGTCATTGAAAGCGCCCATGTCCAAACTCTAGGACAAATACGCGGGTGCAACACCTTATAGAATCCCAATGTGCCCGATACATATCCCCACCCCACCCTTGTAGTGTTTTCATCATATTCCCATTACGCAGGCATCTGTAGAGCGTGCCGCTACCCTCCCAGCCCCAGGTAGCCCCAAGATGTCAGAGGATGGCAGTCTCTGCAGGACCCTTCTTACTCCTCTGTATTGCCCAGGGCCTTCTCCTCATACTCTCATGACCCATGAGCCTTGGTCCCTGAACCTGGGATTACCAAACAGTGCTTACTACAACTACAACATGGCCGGTTGCAGCTCAGCTGCAAGGAGATCGAACAAGGGCGTGTATCGGTTCTGCCGGACCTTAGGGTGTAGAGTCTGCGACTTTTGGGTTTGAGGGTTGAGGGTGTAGGGCGTTGGTGTTTGGGAGTGGGGGGGTGGGCTTCTGGGAGCATGGGCAGGCAGTTGGGGGTTTAAGACTTTGAGGCTGGGGGAGTAAGAAAAAAAACGCAGAGCAAACAAGAGTGCGCCTTGGTTCATGCACTTGTAGACTTAGCCTAAGCCCCAAAACCTGAACTCCGTACCGTAAACCCAGAACCCTGAAATCAAAGCCTAATTCCTAAACTCCTGACATCCACCCCTAACCCTGATTGAGGGGCTTTTGCCTCTCTGGCAGGTGATGGAGAAACCTCTCTCACCAATGAAACCATCTGATGGCCGGGGCACAGCTGAATAGGACTGGGACTATGGATTGTGTATGGTTGAGAATTTAGCGATAATACCACAATAATGGAGAATCAAATGGAAAAGAAAATGGAAAATGAGATGGAAACTAGGATTATCATGGGTTTAAAATTGGGAGATTAGGGTTTTGGTTCAGGGAAGAAGGTAAAGGAACAGGTTCTAGGGTCTCATTTCGAGCGGACAAGAAGCGCTTCAGGACATGCGGCCCTTGGTTGGCAGAATCCGAAGGCGAAAAGATGCCCCCAACATGTTCAAATCAGATTCATCGTGAAGACCTCTCATTGCTTCGAGAAACCTTTGGATGTGAATCACCCCCAGAACCACAAAAACCCTAATCCCTAAATCGTAGTTTCCATGTTATTTTCCATCATCCCTATATAACCCCCATTTCCCTAAGATAGCCCTATAACCCCTATAGAAGCCCTATAATCCCTGTAGTTTCCGATTTTTCCATCATCCCAATACAACCCCAATATAGCAATATTATGCCCATGATAATCCTAGTTTCCATTTCATTTTCCATTTTCGTCTCAATTTGATTCTCCATTATTGTGGTACTATTGCTATATCATATTCTATCTACTTAAGGGGGACTGCAACCCTAAACCCTATAATATACCCATAACCCTAACCTTATAATCCCTAGACCATGAAGAGTTCTCTCTGGGAAAGCAGGCAGCGACTTTCTTCACCTTCATGGCCAGCTTGAAGAGGAAGGAGACCCTCATTTATATTGGGGTTACCGTAGGGATAATGAACAAGAAAATGGAAACTATAGGGATTATAGGGTTCTATAGGGGATATATTAGGGTTGTATAGGGCTTAAATAGGGATAATGGAAAAGAAAATGGAAACTACAGGGATTATAGGGCTTATATGGGCTTATGTAGGGGTTATAGCGTTATATTAGGGTTATATAGGGATAATGGAAAAGAACATGGAAACTACTATTTAGGGTTCAGGATTTGGGGTTTAGGGTCTATAGCCCCCCTTCAGTAGATAGAATATGGAATTGACCAATATCATAATAAGATCCCCATATACCCCATATTCTATCTAAGGGCGACTATAAGGTTTAGCAATGAGGATTTAGGGCAGGGGGTTCAGGGATTGTAGTGTAATGCTCTCTCTCGGTTCAAGGTTTCCGGACTAGAGTTCAGAATTGTATGTATGTCTCTCAACATTTTTGGGGGTAGAGATGGAGGATCCACCAGTTTGAGAGAATCCCCAGGCAACAATCTGTTACTTGTGATAAATTGTATAAGGACTACAAGGGGATACTCTTGCAACAGCAGAATTACTTCAATGCTGCTGGCAGTGCAGCATTTCCCCTGCGTGCCAGGCAGAAACAACATCGTTCCAGCACATTCTTGCTATATTACCCTGTGCACTACCCAAAATACAACCCTATATAATACCTTTAGGCGCCAAGCACAGGTCCACTCTTCTCCACCTTCACTTCAGCACCTGCTGCTGGAGCTGCAGCGCGACTCTTGGCATAGCGCTTGGGCTTGGACATTGAAGTGTCGGGCAAGGTACTGCATTTTTCGCCTGATTGAGGTCGCCTGTAGTAAGGGCTCCAAAAACAAACCGATAACTAGCTGGTGTTAAGGGGGGTTGAATGCACAAGAATGCTGGCATATGCTGGCTATATACTAACCATTCACAATATGTATGCAGTTATCCAGTTATCCCACTCCAGTCAGACAATCTTGGAGGACCCTCCGAGGCCAGCCGGCCTTTCTTGATGGTCTCCCAGACCTGACGTGAGGTGCTTTATTTGATGAAGAGGTTGGGCGTCAAAAACTCAAAGCCCCCCTATGATGAACCTTCCCAGCAAATATTCCCAGCAAAGCACAATTAGAATAATGAAGGGTGACACAAAGGGATATCTATCAACACGGGGTTGGGGAGGGTTTTGATGGAGCTGGCGGAGCTTGTTGGAACTATTTGCGAAACTGGCAGGTGCCTTGGGCACGCCAGCCATCAATGTTGGCTTGAACCTCAACTCACTTTAGTCTGCTGATGGGGCTTTAGAGTTTTGGCTTGTAGGGAGGGTTCAGGGTTCCAGGGATCAAGGTTTTAGGGCTCAGGGTTTCAGGGGTTGGAGCTTCAGGGGTTGTAGGGCTTGGCTGACCACTTTTTGTTGGCCCTGCTTATCCTTTTAAGCTCAATTGGGCCTTTCCGGCGGCACTCCCTTATTCCTTTCGTTTGAATCACTTTGGAACAACATCAGGATCATTAGGGCCACTCAGGATCTTGTTTTAGGATTGAAAATGAAGTGTGTTGAGCAACTCTTCAAGGAAACGCCATAGCTGCAGCTTCCACCGCACGTTTGCGTGCCTGGGCGCTGCTGAATGTATGTAATGTAATGTGATGTAATGTGACGTGATGTAATGTGATGTGATGGAATGTAATGTAAAGTATTGTAAGTATGCATGCATGCATGCATGCATGCATATGTGTATAAATATGTATATATATATACACATATACCTATGTGTTTTCAGTGTCTACACCATGTTTTGCTGTATGTATGGGATCCCTGAAAAGACGGTTTTCATGAGCATCTTCCCCCAAAACTCGAGGCTTCAACTCCTCGAGGCCTCCGGTCGGGTAGCACCTTTCCGGCCCTGCCAAAGGCTCAAGTTACTTTCAATAGGGTCTGGGAGTTGTGTAGAGCTTAGGACCGTGTTGGACCGTTTAGGCGTGGAAGAGAATGTAGGGATGCAGGTTTCAGGTTTGGGGATTCACGGTTTAGGACTTTAAGGTCTAGGGCCACAAGGCCAGTTTCGGGCATATAAGAGCTAGGCCTGAAGGCTTGGGTATTTCTAGGCCATGCAGACCCAAACTGGGCCGTAAACTTCAGACCAGAAACCCTGACTCGATCCTAAGCCCCGTGCCTAAGAACCCGAACTGGCCCTAAGCCCTTGCGCCCTTGGCCTGCAAGCAGGGATTTGGCATCAGCATAGCCGACGCTGTTTCCGGTCGAATAGAAGTACCTCTGGACTGGCGGCAGCCTGGTGTTTGGGAAGCGTCTCAGAAAATGCGGGTCCCCTTAACAAAGGGGCCACAGGGGTATGTACAAATATTTCCCGGTGATGCTGCAGTGTCGCTCGGATTCGCAGGAGTATTATTCGCGAACTTCCCACTACATTTTTGAAAACTTTGAAGTAGCGTTGGTGTCCCGCTTCCTGAGCCGGGGTAATGATTCGTCTTGGAGAGTCCATGTGTGAAGGATCCCGTCTTTGGGAAGGGAGTCCAACGCCCTGAACCCTGCAACACCTTGACACTCACCTAGAAGTCCCGAACCCTGGACCTGAAACCCTAGAAACCCTCGGGTCGTTGAAGCGCGCACAGCTCGGCGACCACTGCGAGAATGTGCGCCAAGGGCAAATAGCCGATGAAAGTCTCGCCGCCTGGCTCTCTGTTCGGAGATCAGCGTCTGAGGTTTGGGATATATAAGTCTTGAGGTGGAGTTCAGCTCTCGAAATAATTTCTGGGAATTATTCAGCCTGTGGAGATCGACCCACTACACCTAGCACACGAGCATCATCGCTGCCAGGGCGGCCCCACGGTTTTCAGTCACCCCCTATTTGCATTTCACCCTTGACCGTAATAAATCCCCAAACTCCTAGACCCTATCAGCACTAATTGAGTCGCAAAACCCTGATTCTCTAAACCTAATCCCCGAAGCCCACAGAGTTCCTAAACCTACAACCCGTACCCTTTAGGCATCCTCATAACCTTTAACCCGCCCTTCGCCTTCCAGGATCAGCGAGCCGAACTGGACGTAGCCTCAGCATCTAAAGCCGCGTGCAGATCCCGTCACTGGCGCACCCGGGTCCCCCACCCTCTGGTGTTGAGTAGAGCAGGTCCAAGGTTAAGGGCCCCTCTTCCATAGGGGCACTGCGGATCTAGCACTGTCTTCGTTAGGACGTTGACCATACAGTTGGACAGGAGCCTCCGAAATTTTCATCCACAAACCTGACACTGAAACCCCCAACCTTACCCGCAACCCCAAACCTTGAAGCCCAAACTCGAGCCTGAGGGCCAGGCAGGATCCAACAAACGCAACAAGCTGCGAGTGTCGCAGTACCACACCCTTTCAAATTAGGATTTGGAAGTTGTTGGTTTTGAGTTCAGGGTTTGGGAGTAGGGTTGCTGCAGCTCAGATCGCGGTTCGGGGTTTGAGGTCTGCTTCTTGAACTTACAAATCTGTTCCTGCTTGTGCAAATCTAGGGTCTTGTCTAGTCACTGGCACTCTAGACACGGTGCTTGCTGAAACTGCCTGCTACGCAGGCAACGAGGGGATAGACCCTAGGAAAAACCATTCGGAGCATGTTCAGGGGCTACTTTCGGATCGGTACTCCTGAGGTTCAGGCTTAATTTCACGTAGGCCATGACGAGCTGTGACACCAGCATCATGTGTGCACACCCACTTCTAACACGCACAGCTTGCAAGTAAGGGCCCAAACTCTCCAGAACTCTTATCCCCAAACCGAAGCCCCCCAAAACTCACAACCCATGCCCTAAGTGCGCGCTTTCACACGGACTACATATGAAAGGCACCTTCGGCGTGCCTGTCGATCCACTTGTGTACCTGAGAAACGATGTTCCGTTGAGAGGTTCAACTCTTCAGGGTGTAGGTTTCAGCGTTCAAGTCTTAGAGTTTAGAGATTTTGGTCTAGGGACCATGGTGGAAGGCTTGGGGTTCATGTTCCAAGGAGATCCTAAGATACCCTCTGGGCAAACGCAACGAGTAAGGCGAACCGCAGGTGCTCAAGACTTTGCAAGGCTGAAAGGCTGAGCATTAGCTTTTGGATTTCATTGGCCGCTTCCTCAAATTCGAAACCTTTCCTGAGAATTACTCTATAGAGTAATCCATAGGGGAAGCGATTACCACTTGAATCTGGACCCAAAAGGATTCAATCAACACCCTCTCTGCTTCCAAGGGCATGGCGGGACACATGTGCTGCCCCAAATGATACGAGCCCCCCAGAAGTTCAGCCTGCTTAGCATCCCACGGGATTTCCCGAACAGATGCGCCCCAACAAGCATACCTGGCATCCTTACCATCTATCAACTCTAGGTATTTTTGCTGAAGCCGGGCCCTAAGCCCCACACCCCAGGCCAAATATCACAAAGGAAACGCTACAATCTAAGTCCTACAAAGCCCTAGACCGTGTATAATTCTTACATCACTACAGTATCATTTTCCCCAAAACATATCAAAATTACACTCACTGGGTGAGAATGTGTGAATACATTCTCCAGGGATTATAACGAATTATAGAGGCGTTCTATGCCCTTATCCCCTTCTGTTCTGTTATAATCCATGGCCCCGAAGCCCTAAGCCCTCAACCCTGAACCCTAAAGAAGAACCTGCTTTAATCCATGCCCAGGGCACATTAGGACTGCCACAGACTCCGGCTTGGGTGGGCTGGGCTCTACTGGCTTCGCCTTCAAGTGCGAGAGAGGATCATTCTTTTTGATGAATGCTCTTGATTTTTGTGTTTGCGGGGGGGGGAGGGTGGGAGTGAAGCCTCGGAGGGTCCCTATTAGGATCAAGAGCAGTAAAGTGTAAGGGTTGAAGGTCGCATTTGATCTTAAACTTCTAGGCTGAGGGCTCAGTTTGGTTGCTGAGGGTTTTGTTCAGCTCCATGGGCTCCCACAGGATAGCAGGCAATCAGCATAGCCATGTGAGTGAGGTTTTTCTTTCATACCATGCTTGCTGCTTTCTTGAAATCTATCTTCCCCAGCTTGCTTTAGTGAGGGCACATCTTCCCTGATGCCCAATGGCCCTTTTATGGTGTCCGGTTGTGCATACTCTGAACTCTGAGCCTTCGAAAAGTTTGAGCAATACCCCAACGCAAATCACTTATAGCACTAGATGACCAACGCCTGCTGATCTATGTGCTTTCCTTCCTGCACGGCAAAGTTACTACGTCCTCCGGGCTCCCTCATAAATTCAGCTTGTTTAGTGCAAAGGATAGCATCAGGCAGCCCACCCGAAGACCGAAATCCTGAAGCCCAGGCTCCGCTGAACTTTGACCTTTGAACCATGCAGAACCCTAACCAATCGACGGCACTTTGTGGAGCATGCCAACTGGAAGCCATATATCCCTATAGACCTCTATTTAACCCCTACATATATACCCCTCTATTGAACCCCTATATAACCTCACCCCTGAGTATAACCCCTATATAATCCCTATAGAATATAAGAGTTTCCATTTTCTTTTCCATTATCCCTATATTATCTCATTATACCTTGGAGAGGTGTATAAGGTACCCCTTTTACAAGTCCAGCAGCATCCGCACCTTGCCGAGCTCAAGGACCTCCTGCCTGGCCACTCAAAGCAAAATTGGGTGGGTACCTTATCCCTTCCAAGGGGATATATAGAGGTTCTATAAGGGTTATATAGGGATTATATAGGGATATGTGTGGGTTCAGGCTTGAGAGGCTTTGAGTTTCAGGCTTCGAGTCTGCCCGCTTCTCGGTTCTCGGGCTCAGGGTCTCACGTTGAGGTTGTCACGGCTCAGGCCTTTTGGAATCTTCACCTTCCAGCACTCTTTTTAATCTTTGGGAGGTGGCAGCGCTTAGAGTTTTTGCGGTTGAGGGCTTGCCTGGTTTCAGAGTGTAGGGCTTCAGCTTCGGGCGGAACATGAGAGATGAAGGTTTCGGATCATTCAAGGACCTTGGAGGTAGAGGGGGGCGTGTGCGAGAAACACCAGCGCCCCTATTACATGTGAATGGTGTCAGCGGCGGGCAGGTGGTGCACTTGGAGGATCATCTAGAATCTATGGGCCTTACCCTGGCCCTAGCCTTTATCCAGCCCAAACCTCACCTCCGACCCTCAAATAACAACCTAAACACTGTAAACTCTGGATAACTCTGGTCGGAACACATGGACAGCAACTTCACGCTGCCACTGCTCGTCAGCCTGAGCTACAGAAATCAAAAGACTTCTTACAACTATTGGATCATAAGGATACAATGGAGAGTTCGAATTCCTAAGGGCCAATCTAGGTCATCTGAATTTCTCGAAAACTTGGCATCTTTGTTGGGAGGTTTGTGTCCTAGGAGTTTTCTGCTTAGGCAGCAGATCGGCTCGCCCAGACCTCGTGAAGGCCCTAACTAGGCCCCCCGAAAGAGCAAGGGCTGAGCTCGGGGCCTTTCCCTGCACTCTTCTGGCCTGGACAGGACTCTGAAAGGTTTAGGGTTTAGGGGTTTAGGGTACCCAAATCTGCCAGCATTTTCTGGTATCTTGACTTCAGAAAGTGCCGAGCACGTGAAAGCCACTTCCAACTGCAGAAGCTGTGGCTGCAGACGTGCACAGGCTGTCCAAGTAGATGATGACCTCGCTGAGGAGTGCGGTTGGGGTCTAGGGTTTGTGGCTTGCGGTTTAGGCGGGTGAATGGGGCCTACGTGAAATTGTATTGATCGTTACCACGGTCTTATCCAGCACCACCTCTACACCCTGAATCACAACAATTCCTTACCCGACGTCTGAGGCACCGGAATATCCATAATGTTCCATAACAAGATGCCTTACCAGAGGCTCGCCTGCTATGCGACCTCGAGCCACCAACTATGGCTATTCTATGTGGTAGGCCATAAGGTTTAAACACGCTCGACGATTTCTTCATAAAATACTAATACAACCAAAAGGAGATCGTACTTGGGGCCTCTAATATTTGTCTGTAATCTGCGCAGAAGTGTTGCAAGCACTGCGGACTGCAGTCAGCACGCAACCTGACTACGACCATGTATTTGCAAGCCCGCTTGCAAGTACACACAGACGAAACTCTAAGGCTCTATGCCCTGTGCATGCGTCCGCATCCCCTGTGGACAAGGCCCAAGTCTATAATTGAACCCCACGAACCACGAACTCTCCGTAAACCTTCCTGTAAAGCCTACACGCAAAGACCTAGACCACAGGGGGGAGATACCTAAGCAATCACTATAAATCCTTTAAAGCCCAAGAGGCTTCCGTTAATCTTCCAGGAACTATAGGCCCTCTACAGCCACGGACCCAGACCACAGCCCACCTGTCCATCTCCATCTATAAGCTCTATGAAGTAATTACTTCGGAACCTCGACTCAATCACTGAAAATGTGCTCAAAGCGTGCTGCACGGCTACAATGTTGCTACAGGCGGTTTGCTGAAGATGGGGAGGTAACCTGGAAGGCCCGAGAACATTTTGTTAGCTAGACATTGTATAAGCCCTAAGCCCCCAAAGCTCCACCACACACCCTCTCTGAGCCTCCAAGGACGGCATCTCCGAGGCAGTCTTCAGAAGCCCTACCGATGGCTTGGAACTTAGGGTTGGGAATGCTTGGGTTTCGCTTGAGATTATCAGAGTGCGGTTTCAAGTTTTCGGAAAGCCCAGGGTTCAGGGCTTGGGGCTTAGGCTTCAGAATATTGAGCTTAATGTTTTGGGGGTTTCGGTCAAGGGCTTGGAGTTGGTCATGATGGGGAATGATTTGGGGGAATAGAAGGCCTGCTACAAGGATCCATTCCTCCACTGCATAACCGACTAAGCAGGCGATGTGTTTGAGGTTGAGGGGCGAAGGGTTCCAGGATTTCGGATTCCAGAGTCTGGGGGGTGTAGAGGTGATAGATGAAGCCTCTGTGGGGCATGATTATGTAGAGCAGTAGAGCCTCACACCGCAGAATCATATAGCCTTCACTATGGGAACTCGAAAAACATCGCTCTTGCACACAGCCAATTAATGAGCCCTAAAGACCTCAAACTGTTTCCTTGATCCTTCTATAAGCCCCTGTGGCACCGCGTCCCTCAATCCGCCCACCATGTTGAGAGACCCCGTCAACAGCGCACTTCCCCTCGCTCCTGCGCGATCTTGCACTTAGATCTTCTTCGGGCTACATAGGAAACAACACCGTAAACTGCATCCTAAGCCCAGACCCGAAAACACCTTAGAACATCCCAAACACCCCAATATATACCCTAGCATAATATTATAGTAGGTTCTGTTTTCTTTTCCAGTATCCCTATATAATCCTTATATAGTCCCTATGATCCTTAGTAGTTTCCATGTCTTTTCCATTGTCCCACTAAATTCCAAAATACACCAAAGCAAAAGCCACAGGGCTTTGTGGGTGTCTGCCCTCGGGCCTTCAGCGGCCTTCCTGTTGCAAACGAGGGCAGAGATGCCGCCTGCATACGCCAACAGGCAAGGTTGGAGATCTTGGGCTTATATTGGGATAATGGAAAAGAAAATGGAAACTATACGGATTATGGGGCATAGCAAGTTAGGGCTTGTAGGGCGAAGGGGTCTGTAGAATTTATTGGGACTCTGGTTCTGAGCACTTAGCGAATCTTAGCGAAGGAGTTATGCCCTCGCAGACCTTTGAGAGCACCATCTAGTCGCCAGTCCTTCGAAAATTCCCACAAAACAACCCCGTAAAGCTCTAGGATCTCCACATATCTCCACTGTCTATCCACCAGGGCACATGTTAAATCACCATCATCAAGACTTGTATGTCCACACCTGCAGCCCCACACCCTAAGCATTAAAGCCCTAAAACTTCAACTCCTGAGCTCTTATCCTCTGACTGTCTGCCAGCCTAAACGCCCTGAAGCCTCTGAGGCCATGGGGCCTTCGTTCACCGCGTGAATGACAGCATCTGTCCCAAGGGTTGCATAGCACGTAGCAACCACTAGGTTTTGGGTCATGGCTCCATACCTGCCGTGTTTGAATGGTCTTGAGCTTGTCTAGTTGTTTTGAGCGAGGCGGGGCTTCATTTCGTGAGATAAGTATTTGGGCACTTACAGTAAAGAGCTGTTTTAGGCGCATTGGAATGATGCTGCGTAGCCTTTTATTTTCGATCCTGGGTTATTGAGAGGGTTGACTTTGTTAGGGAGGAGTATGCAAACAATTGCGGGCCTTCCAGGATTGTTGAGGTCGTCTTGAAGTTTGGCTCTCTGGGGAACAGGTGGGGTTGTATCTGAGAACTTGGCCAAGGTTGAGATGGAACCATATGGAAGAAGCATGGCAAAGCCCCATTTGACTAGCTTTGCTCAGATCTTCACTAGCATTAAAGGTTTCTCTAGCACGGAGAATCAAAGCCATTCTTCATACGGAATCGAGCAACATCCGAAGCAAGGACCGATGATTCAACTGTACAATGCAGGCAGGCAGGACGAGCAGATCTGCCAGTCAGCACATGTGTCCTGGCAACGGACAAGTAAGTGGCGGCCTGGTGATTTGAGATATCGTAATACATGGTAATGTATACTAGAATATATTTCAATATATTGTAATATGTCCTAGTATATTAAGTGTATTGTATTGTAGTACATTGTAATACTCTTTGGCTCTTAGGAGTTGAACTCCAGGTTGGCTTCAGCAATACGATCTAGACAACGCAGGTACTCTGACAGCCAAAGACCGTATACGAAATGACTTCTTCACTAATTCACAGGCCTGTCCAAGAGTTCTATGAAAAAAAGCTGCTCCTCAAAATTCGGAAGCCCTTGCTTGAATTATTCAAAGTGTAATGAGTCCTCAACATGCATGTGACGCCAAAAAGCTTCGCATGGCGGTCCTAGCACTCAGGAATTCCCCCGCCCTGCGGCCGATAATGTTGGTGGCCCCCCAGCGGCACAAATCATTGACTCCAGAGCATCAGCGCTACCCCAGAAACCTTCCACCCACCCCAAACTAAAAAGGCAAAAAGCCCAAAGCCACCGAGAAGGTACCTCATACATGAGAATCTTGAACTTCCCTGTCATGGTGTCGAAATCGCCCTCGGGCTGCGGCCTCGACTTAGGGGTTCGGGTTCAGGGTCTATAGGGTACGAGGTTTTCGGGGTTTACGGGGCTTAGGGCTTGCAGGATAGAAGCTTTGGGACTTGGGGCTGAGAGCTCAAGTTTTAGGGGCCCATGCATGGTCCTTCTAGGCTTTGGGTCTTGGTGATTGGGATTGGGATCATCGCTTAGCTACTGATACCGTACCGGCTTCATTCCCGTTTTGGGGGCATGGCCGGCGGGAGTGACAAAGGCCGTAAAATCAAGACTGTACAAAACTGTACTCCTTTTACCATACATACTGAGAGGTCATGGCAGGTTTTCGTTGCAATATCATTCCCAAAAGGAAGAATATACGCAACCCTCACAGCCCTTGAATAACACACATGTTGACTTCAGCCTACATCCTGCCTGAACTCTATCGCATGGAGCCCAAAACCCTGGGTCCGAAACATCAACAACTCAAACTCACGCCAGGGACCCAGCTCCAAGCCAAGTGCTCGGAGTCCTGCACCAAATTCCTGAAGCAATAGCTTGGGGGTTAGGGCTAAGGCTCTAAGGGTTTAGTATCGGGGCTTTAGGGTTTTTCAGGGTTTAGGGAAGCATGACATTGGACAAGATCGCTTGCCCCAAAGATTCAACACCCCTACCCAGTCAGTAAGGTCGCCCTGAAAAGGCAAAAGGATGACTCGGTAACTTTTACAATGCCGAAGTTATAGTCAACACTCCTAGTATCCCCCTTTTATCACCCCCTATGATCGTCCCCCATATAATCCCCTATATAACTCCCCTCATAGCTCATATGATGGACGTAGGGTCCATCTCTCCAGGGTTGGAGTTACAAAGTATATACCCTGGCAGCCAGCTGCAGAAAATATCCACGGCCTTGCAAAGCTTTCCCATTTCTGCGTATGTCCGCCACTGAGTCGGACCGAAAACCTGTGGCAGAGGCGCGCTATCAATGAGACATACAATGTAGGGGCCCAAATTATCAAAGCACGGTTGGGTGTGCTGCTGTAGGCACGTAATGATGTAGGGTTAAACTTCATTATCATTCACGCCGCTACTCCACCTCCCATAAACAAACATGGACACTCAAAAAGATTCTATGTGGACTTCTATGTGGACAACATGGACTGTGGATTTCGTGGGACATCAGCCCACGGCAGCCATGGCACAGCACAAGTCTCCCGGCCTTTGCTGGGAATCTGTACCCTTCTTCCTGAACAGGGCTCTCATTCACTTACATGCTGCTCAAGAGGTTTGACAAGACCAAGAAGGACTTGCAAAAAGAGTACTGAGTATCTGGGAAACCCTGAACCCCACCCGCCCCCAGCAGAAGCACGAAAAGATGAACCCTAGAGGTAACCCTATGACCTATTCACCGGGAGCCCAAGGTTTTGGGAACCGTTTCCGTCCTTCTTCCAGGACAGCAGAGGGCGGACGCCCTGTGCCTTTCTCTGGGCATATCCTCAAGAAGCTTGGATTTGCGGTTTAAGGTCTAGTTGGTAGGGTGAGGTTGAAGCTCTATGTTGTATAGATTCTGAAGTTTAAGGGGTGGCGAGAACCCCTGCAAAGGGGAGCAAGCTCATTTGTGGGCACATGTGGGCAGATATGTGGAAAATCGCTTGCTGATCAATGCCGGAGGTACAGAAGTCAGGCCTTATGCTTCTGGGTCCAGGAGCTCCCTGATGTGTTTGCACTGTTGCATGGAAACTACTACATTATACTGGGGTATATATTGGGGTTATAAGGATAATGGAAAAGAAAATGGAAACTACTATATTACAAGAAGGTATATGGGGGTTATCATTCTCTGTCATTGGTACCTCCAAAACGCCTCCGATGCTGCTGGTGCTTAACACGGACTGGGCAAGTCTATCCCTACGTCATCTATATCGACTCCACCATCCCTCTCAAGTACCAGATGCTGGAGCAAAGCTCATGGATTCCTCCATGTCTGTAGCATGGGAAAGCTTCTGTGCAATGCGGGACTTTGCTCGTTTCCGAGATGTGGAGAATCTGATATGTCTGGGCCGCAATACGACAACGGAAATTCGAGCAACAACACCCATGCGGAACTCATGTAACGAGATCTCCCCATGTGAGATGGGATTCTTTGACCTATGGCATATCCGCAAGGACATCCCATGAATACACTCCCCAAGATTGCTAAAAAGAAGTCTATGTACACCCACCCAAACCCCATAATCACAGCAGTGAGCACACATCTACATGTGTATCACATATATCTACACACCACACCATAACCTAGACACTAAATAGCACTTGAAACCCTACATAAACACAATCTACCCCAAAATATCCTGAACCCTAAATATCCTGTATCTCCATGTGTGTTGCTGGGCGGGTTGCTCTCAATGACGGCTGCCAAGATTTTCACTTTGACAACGAACTGTCAACTAACAACCAAGCGGTGCGCTGATAAGCCAAGGCACTACAAAGCCAACAAGAGAGAGAGAGAGAGAGAGAGAGAGAGAAATATGCATATATATATATATATGCATATATATATATAAATAATATATCCATGTCTCAAATCGCGGGTGACACTAAAATACGGAAGCATGCCGCTAAGGGCCTGGCGTTTGAAGGAACGGTCTAGAAGCTGGAACACTGTGTACACGCCCTCAGACAACTTACTTGGAGGGTCATGGGGACTTGGTAAGTAGGTTGATATTAGGGATAATTGTGGCTACTTTATAAATTATAAGGGCTATTAACCTACTTACTAAGCCCCCCTGACCCTCCAAGTATTGGCGGGGCATGGAGGAATGGAAAAGGCATTGGCAAGTACAATCATATTGGTGTGCTTGCCTATATGCCTCCAGGGAAGCTAGGCGTGCTATGCAAATACATCAGGACGCGGGGCCATTGCCGCTTGCCTTGCGCAAAGGCATTATCCTGAGTCTCGTCAGCACCGCAATGATCCGTGAGAAATCTCGATGTGAGGACTGCTAGACCCTAAACCTCCATTTCTAAATCAATGACTCTAGATTCTACAGCATAAACTCAACTTCAAACCTTGGACCTTAAACCCTAAACCCACAGGCTCTGAGGGGGGGCCTCCTCCGGGTGTGGGGAAGCCAAGAGCTTCCCCACGTCGGCAGCCTGCGTTGCCTGCCACACCTCACAACTTACTGGTGGCTGGCAAGAAATGAGTGGATAATATAATGAAATGGAAGCTACGCTTCGAGCTTCGTAGGGCACGGATACCTACAGTAGCCAGACTAAAGTAGACTCTGCAACCCATACATCCCTTGACTCCCAGTGAATAGTATGGCGGTGCCATGGGCTCCAATGAGCTATCCATGTCTACCGTCCTTCTACACAAGCTGTCCCAAGTGACCCTTGTCAAATTCCAAGAGCGCTTTGGTTGAAGGGCATGTTTGATCCCTAGATCAGGGGCAGTGGACAGAAAGGCACATTTGCCAAGGCACCTGAACACCAGACATGAAGGGCTTCCGAACCAGAATTTCTAGCGGAGAGCCATGATTTCTTCATCCTATACATTGCTTGACAAGTAGATGCGCGGGATGCACATTACGCAAGACTTAGTATGCACATGTATATGCACATATATATATATATATGGACATATGCTCTTCTAAAAGGCGAACATATGGGGGCACTTTCCTAAAACTTTAGATCTACCCTTGCCATGCCATCCAGGCTCCAGGAAGCATCCAAAGAGCACTCAAAGACATCGGTGCTAGCTGCTAGCAGTAGTTGACCCCAATAAATACCCTATTATAATCCCTATAATCCTTATAGTTTCCATTTTCTTTTCCATTATCCCCTATATAACCCCTAGATAGTAGTTGACGGGAACTGCTGGAGCGTCCTTGCACTAAATGTCAAACTTGGGTAAATCAGGCCCTGTGTCGTACGGATCCTTGCTGTGCTGGTGTTTGAGCAAAACTCTGCCTACTGTGTGAGCCATGGTCGATGGTTGGGAACGGGGGCTATAGACCTGATCACTCCACGAGTTCCTGCGGTCAGCTTGCTGGTTCGCACCATGGGAACCCTTCAGGAACTTTGACGTTCTTGATCCTCCCAAGGGCCTCATCATGTAGGGTCAAAATCACGAGAGCTTCATATTGGGGTGCATCATTTAATGGAGAAGTGGATGCTGCAAGAATTCATGCAGCCCCTACGGCGTGCTTCCAGAAGGCTCGTCCATCAAATAGGGTCCCGGCATCAGAGTCTGGGCCGCTACCATTGATCTTGGCCTTTCTGACGGGTCCTTCGTCAGGCGGTGTCATACGAATGTTTTTCTGAAGCTTATGGGGTCCTCTTGTAGGGATGAGGACCCCAAAAAACAGGTTGAGATCCTGTACCCCCATGTAGCATCACGTCGAGGGAGCCCCTACCCTGCATCGCTGAAGGATTTCATGCTAGATGCATTTCGTATTGTCCTGGCAAGTAAGATTCTACAGCTTCATTGCTGCCAGCATGTTCTCCCTCATTCAGCACACAAACCCTGAGCTATGTTGCTCGAAGGGTAGCCCCCACACACCCCCCAAAAAAAATCTTCCATCTCAAGCAATATAGGCTTGGGACTCCATAGAGTCAGCCCTCAACCTCAGCCCTAAGCAATTACGATGATGGTGATTTATTTTGAGTTCTTTACCTTCGTTTCCTACTTCTGCCCATCCGTAAGCAATGCAGAGCCTGAGCCCGGCACGGGCAAACTCTGCCACTCCCGCCATGGTCTTCTGCAAGGTCCACACGGGGCCTCATGCTTCAGGGTTCATAAAGTTTTTGGGAGGCTTAGGGCTGAGGGTGTCGGGGTCTAAGGTTAAAGGCGTGGGGTTTCAGTGTTTTGGGGGGGCGATTCGGTTAGGGATTCGGGCTTTAGACTTGCGGGTTGATTGGATTGGGTAGTCAAGGTTTTCAGGGTCCAGAAGGTTGAGGCCCCGCAGTTTCAGGCCACGAGGCCGCTGCAACGAGACAACGAACTCTGGCGAAGGGCATTTCTGATTCCAGCCAGCGTGTATTTCAAACATGGGTTTTTGACGAGTTGGCTCAATGACCACTGACGTAGGCAGCCTCCAAGACACAAAAAAAAGAGAGCGCCTGCTCTGACACATAGCATCACCGTGTCTCTGAATCAATTTCCGAAAGCTTGGACAAATTCGAACTTCTCAATGTGCTGACCCTAGGCCCAGCAAAAACAAACCCTCAAGCAACCGTCTGGGGCCCTGTCCAAGCGTCAAGATCCAAAGCAGGAAGTCCTAGCAGCAGGCGAGGTTTAGGGCCCATCGGGCCTAGACAAAGCTTATATAGGGTGCAGGGTTTAGGGCATGGGCTTGGCAAATGTCTACAGAACGTCTCGTGAAGCTCGAAAGACAGCACGAAGAAGGTCAATGTGGCGAATATGAGGGGTTTTCCTTAAGACTGTTGTAGCGGCTATAGCCATGCCAACAACAGGCTGAAGACCTGACAGTGAAATCTGAGCCTAGCAGTTGAAATTTCTCGGACCTGCGACGTATTTCGCGCATGCGATGTAACCTTTTTTATTCTGGGGTTCACACAGGATCCTTCTAGCCATCACTTGCCCATTCTTGAAAGTTTTTCCATCGTTGCACAAGAATCTTTTTTGCCCCGGGTGGAAGATAACGACTGGCCTGTTAAAATCCCGTCTACACTTGAAATTGACCTCACAACCCTTGGCGTATGCAACCTCAAACCTCAGACTCGCAAATCCCCAAAGCTTTTCATGTCCGCCCAAGGCACCAGAACAACCAGCACGAGCCCAGCTATGTGGAGCAACACCTCTGGCAAAGCAACGGGATGGTTACGGAGTTGATGCGGTTGAGGTTCAGTTTGGGCTGGTGGTTTCGGGAGTGTCCAATTCCAATGGTTGCAACTCACATCAACCGATTTTTGGGCTAAAACGGCCATGACAAGAGTCCAGCAAAATACATCAGTTCCTTTCGTCAATACAGGCACAATGCAGCTTTGAGATTCGAGCGTCACAGTAGTAAAGATGAAATGGAACATCTTAAGGATTGGGAACGAGCTCCTACAGAACAGCAAGGAAGAAGCTAACGCAGTGGTCAAGTATGCCGAGATCTGCACTTCCAATTCCAAATTTGCCTCTTTTCCTTGAAATGCAGACGTCAAAGAAGAAACCGCAGGTTGCGCAAAGATGACTTGAGAAACCATTCACGCAAAGCTGTTGCTGGCGCACTGCAAAATTTGAATTGGATTTTCCGTCGTTTTCCTCACCCCAGGTCAATTAAGTGTTCAATGCAACCTAGGCGCGTTCATGGCCGCGTTCGCCATCGCGGCTGCGTGGAAGGAGGAACTTCCTGCAGAGCAGCGCCGCAGTCGGAACCAGTGGCGCAAAGTTGGATACAGCGGCTGAAATGGAGAAACCCCATCATCAGGTTTTTAAATGGACGGCATTCATTAGCCCCCAGACACATATGAAACCCCACCTAAGCGCCCATCAAAAGGACTGTAGCCTGTGTTGGCTACTGCTAGGACTCTACGCGGTATTTCCATGTTTCCCCTCTTCATCGAAATTAACAAGGATCCTACGCGATGATGGTCCTTCCCCGGCCTTCCAAGGAAAGGGGCAAAAAAGTTGGAGGGCCTTCTTCTGCTTGAGCCCGTGCCATTGAAAGAGAGCGCAGTATACATGCAACATGTTGCGGAATCAAGGGATGCCCAGCAAGTTGGCGGCCTGTTGTTTTGCAGACACATTCCATCAACGAACAGTTTGCCCACGACTTCACCTGGGTAGCCTAGAAATTCACGCGCAGCACCACGGGTGCAAATCTAGGACAACCATTCACGCGGAGCCAAGGCTTACGAGCTGTCACAAGGAAGCGCTTTCTCTAAAAAAATGGAGTTGGCCGAGAGTATAAAGTTTTCCTAACCTAACGCTAGGTGATAATAGCGGCCTGGCGCAAGCGTAGCAGCCTTGCTCAAATTTGGCCGAGCTCCTTTACATTTTTTTCGTGGATTAGGACTTGTACTCGTTCCCCGCCTTCCAAGTTGGGGCTTACAAGCTTGATCCATAGACGCCCATGCAAGGAATGGATCTGACCCCTTTGCCAGATTACTCTCCAGCTCCAGAATGCGGCCGAATCTTGTGTATGAGCTACAACCAACAATCGATAATTCCGCGAGGAGTTCTTCGGGGTACTGGACCCGATGTCCACCCTTGCGCTCCAGAATATGGACCGTAGCTTATGTCGTTGTCACCAGCCGGCTTTGGGCCCAACAGGGGTGAGACAGTTCAGGTTGAAAAAAGGATCGCCCTACATACCCGCAGAAAGAAAATTCCTAAAGATAGGGTGCACCTGCATGCCCTCAAACAGGATCCACAATTTCAGGAAACCTCTAAAGTCTACAACTGCAAAGATTGGGTTGTCCTTTCAGCCTTTTGAACATTTTCTTGGCCCATGGAGAGCAATAAAGACAATTTCACAAGTTTCTTCAGAACAGCCCTAAACCCGAAACCCCTAAACCGTAAACCCAAATCCAAAGGCTGTCCTAAGGACAACTCTGAACCCTAAGCCCCTAAACCCGTAACCCAAGTTCCCAAAGGACAACCCAAAAGACGTTTGCCGCGAAGGCTGGAAGCACCACAGCGAAGGCCATGAGCTTTTGCTCCCGCATGCTGGAGGAGACCATCGAACTGGAGGAGACGTTCCTAGGCCGACATCAAGAACACCCCAAAAGCTAACCATTTTTGAGCATCCGTCTTGTAAAATGTAGGAAGCCCAAAACAGTGAAGTCTCAAGAGCCAGGCTAAAACCAGCCCAGGTTCCATGTTTGTTCAGGTGACAGGCTGGTGGAAACCATCGGCTGGCAGTCCCCTGACACAAAGGGTCTATCATAGGTCCCAGTACCTTCCCCCCCCAGCTTCCCTTAACTACAGAGGTAGTATGGGGGGCGGAGTGGTAAGGGGAGCCATGAATCTATGTGTTTTCATGTACAGGTTTTGTTCCAGTTTAGGGTCTAGTAGTAGAGTATCGGGCCTTAGGCCTTGTTGGGAGGATTCTGAGGTTTGTGTGGATTTTGTGTGGGTTAAACGTTCGAGGGGAAGAAATCCTGCAGCTCCTAATCCGCAACCCTCAACCACACGCAGCAAGGAGGATACAGGGTGCATGCCTTACTGCGCCAACAGGAGGGCAAGGCCAGTATTGGCCTAAAAGCAAAATTAAGATGCAGTGACAGGGAGACGATTAGGCACAATTTAGAGTTTTTTCTCGAACTGAAATTTTGTTGATGGACAAAATCCTAACTTTGCCCAGCAAAAGTTCATGGGCCCTACTACCACCCCACCGGTACTCCCCTTGGCCTTAAGAGGGGTTAGTATACCGGGGGTGGTAAACGGACCCATGACAAGTAGGTCTTCAAGTGTCCTGGACCATCGACGGAGGGCGGCGGCTCATCACCGTGGTTGTAGACAGACCAGGATCCTTGTAGCTGTGGAAATATTCTGGAAACCCTATGATTAACTATATATACCCGTTATGGTAACTTAGTTTAAGTTCCTTAACGGCAGCCCAGTGTATACTTAAACACAGGGTAAGAGCTTAGATGGCTTGGACCTTGGGGTGGCTTAGCATTTTTTGTGCTAGACTTTGCAGTTTTTACGGGTATGCATGCTTTGTTGTGGTCCAGGTTCAGCAGCGGACCCCCCAAGCTGCTTACAACCCAAACCCCAATAAACCCCAAGAGGAATCTGGAGGGCTCGCGATGGAACCAACTGATCTGAGATGAAACCCTGCTTCAATCACTCAAGTTCTAGATACCTTCGGCTGGCTGGGAATGAAGGAATGGAAAAGACAATGGAAACTACTATCATGGGGCATATAGGGACTACTACAAGGATCCATTACCTCGTTCTTAGCTAACCAAAGGTAAGTAGAATCTCACCCCATGCATCCTGAATCACTAGTGTCAAGTCCCTAGCGCCAACCCTAGATAAACCCAGAAGCCCCACCCTACAACCCTGCGTCTCAGCAAACCCTTTACCCAACCCGAACCTAAGGTCCAATTACCTAAGCCGTACATAACTGAACATATTAGAACCTAGAATGGTTCCTATTCACACGCTTTGGGGTCTCAATCTATCCTCTTTGATTATTTGGACGCGCTGCAAGACCCCAACCCTGACCAGTAGACCCGCAAGACTCGCCTGTGATGCAATCGTCTGCGTGGTAATGCTCACGGCCGTCCACAGAAATCTTCCAACCGCCGCTGTCTTTGTTGTAGTAGAGATCTACCAAGCCCACCTGATGGTCAAAGGTTTCGGGCTTGGGGCCTGAAGCAGCGAACAGATTATGTTTATAAGGACGTACCCACTCCTCAGAAGCCTATTAGAAGTCCGCTAAAAGCAAAAACTCCAACAAACCACAGGAGTCCACCAGAAGCCCACTGTCAATGCCGCAAAATCACCTCTGGAAGCCCAGAAGTCCCCTCCCCCCTGCTGCCAGGGCCGAGGTGGTCGCTGAGCAGCCTCTAAGCCCAAAGCCTACATCCTCAATGGAAGGGCAACAGAAGATGCACATAAAATTCCACGGCACGACAACGAGTTACCACTGCAAAAACCCAAAGGCTTCCAATAAACCACCCTAAAGACTTCAACCTTTTTGCAGGAACCGAAACCACTGGCCTTGTCGACGCACTCGTTGTCTATCCAATCACATTCGCCATTACACCAATCAGCACCTTTCAGAAATCAAATTAAAGAGAAGTTGAAACTCGATCTCCAATTTTTCAGACTGCTGTACAAGTCAATTCCAGCTAGAGGCAAGCTGCCATTGCCCTGCGGGCACTCAGCGCACGAGGCTGCCCCGTGCTGGCCGCACGATACCTGAACCTTTTCGCTTGCTGCTCATTATGATGGGCGAAAATTGCAATTACAGCAACCAAAAAACGCTGGCCTGGGCGACGCACTCGTTGTCTGTCCATGCACATTGGCCGTTACACCAATCAGCACCTTTCAAAAGTCGAGTCAAAGAGAACTTCTAGCTCTTTCTTCACAATCTTTCGGATTGCTGTACAAGTCAATTCCAGCTTGAGGCAAGCCGCCATTGCCCGGGGGGCACTCAGCGCAAGAGGCCGCCCCGTGCTGGCCGCACGATACCTGAACTTTTCCACTTATTGCTCATTGGGATGTCAGAAATGCATGTCCGGCAACCGAACAACACTGGCCTTGCCAACGCACTCATTGTTGTCGGCCCAAGCACAATGGCCATTACACCAATCAGCGCCTTTCAAGAAAAATCACTAAGTTCTATCTTCAAACTTCCGGGTTTGCTGTACAAGTCAACTCCAGCTTGAGGCAAGCCGCCATTGCCCTGAGGGCACTCAGCGCACGAGGGCGCGTCGTGACCACCGCACGATACCGATACCTGGCACTGGAAAAGAATATCATATAGGGATATATTGGGGTTAAATAGGGCTACTGGAAAAGAAAATGGAAACTATATTGATTATACAGGGGTTACATAGGGATTATAGGGTATATATAGGGGTTATACAGGCATGATGGCAAAGAAAATGGAAACTAGTATATTGTAATATGGAAACCAAGCTGACGTGCTCTGCCAAAGTAACCCAAAGTGCAAGACGTACGTACTTCTCACATCACCAAGCTTGGGCTTCAAGGACTTGTACCACCTGGTTATAAACTTGCAAGTGAATTTCTAGCGGGCTCCCAAGCTCGGAAGCTCTGAACAGATCTATCCTGCAAGGTTTAGGGCTTCAGGGCTTTAGGCAAGAGATATTGCGCGTCATGTAGTCAAGCACTAAAGCTCGCTCAAAGTCACAGGGCACAATGATGTGTTCTCCGTTTGTTCGCAGTCATGCCTGAAAACCAGACTCCAAAAACCTTCTCCTGCCTGACTGACCTGCATCGCCGCAGAGAGCACATAGTAGACCTTAGGGTTTCAGGCTTTGGAGAAGCCCTTGGGGGCTCAGCGGTCAGGCCTTCACTTTGACTTTGCACTCTATGCGCTGGTATGTTCCAGTGTTCTTTGCTAGGTCAGACTGGCACGTCATTGCCCAGGCGTTCCCCCAGTTTAGGATTCTAAGAGGATTCGAGCGATACCTTGAAATCTGGCAAAGGTCCTTCGTGGTGTCCACCCAGGTGTGTCGCTCGTCCGGTGTGCCCGCAGAGTAGCGGCCGTTCACCCGAGAAGTGCCCGCGCCGGATACGAGGACGTCCTTATGAGGCTGGCATCAAGATCATACTCCCCTCTTGATCGTGAAACCTCCTACCTTCCCCAACGTTGAATATTCTGATTATGGAATAATACACCACAGTGGGAGTATCTAATATACGGAGTGGGGGCTCAAATTTATTAGTGTGTGTGACACAGTGGTGGTGTGTATGTTCGATGTTTAAAGCCCTTGTTGTAGTGTGAGTTTTTGCTATGTTTCTGGTCCTACGCAAGTAGCAGAATGCATACATGTATATATGGTGTATATACATATATAGATACAGATGTGCTTATACAGGATAGAAGGCATTCTTCGCACAAGATAGATGTTCTATAGCATGCTGATGCGGTTTCCCCACATAACTTTGAAATCTCTAGCCACCCTAGAAACAGCAAATAATGTCGATCCTCCGATACCCTAGTGCTCCCCTTAAGTTTGAACTTCCCTAGACGTCCATGAAATCTTCTCGTACAGTATATTGATCTTCATGAAAACCGCCCTTGCATCTGTGTATAGACATGTCCATACTAGCCCTGCCACCACCATCATTGCAACGCCTTTCAAACAGTCAAATACATACATACATGCACACATACATACATTTCTGGCAAATGTTACATTCTGGGGACCCGTTTTCTCAGTCCATCTTCAAGAGTTGCCATATTGGGTAGTCAGGCATAAGCCATCCTGTCTGGGAGCATTTCTCATTCATTCAGGCAAGAGGTTGTATAGGAGTTCTCCTCTGGAATAACACATGTATGACAAGGATCTCCGTATATTCGCTACACTTTTCCAAAACCCCTTGCGTAACCAAATCCAAAGAATGAAAAAAGTCCTGGATGCAATACCACAATAATCGAGGGGCACCACTATACCCCCAAGTTTTGATTTTTGGGGAAGGTCATGTTGCATGCATGTTGCTGTAACAGAGCGGTCCTGCAACTCTCAGCAATAATCTCCACCATGTTGGGAGAGGCCTCCCTAGAATATCAGCAAATTCATACTGGGGGGGTGGTCTAACTCTAAATAGTTAGTAGCATCCATCTACGTAAGTTCTATCAGGTCGCTCTATTTGTATTGGTGAAAAACCTTTTGCCAGCCTAACTAATATGCACGATATAGCCGGTATGTGCATACATTCATGTATTATATCTACATATATATGTATATACATATATATATATGCCTATACTGCCTATACGACCCTTTGGGTCCAGTTGACCTACTCGTACCTACATGATAGCTTGTCGTAGAACAGCTGAAAACACCGTAAATTCCAGTACAACACAATGCATCTAATGCCTGAACCCTTTACTGTGACTACACGCTTGCATATCATTCCTTTATAACATTGCTTATGTCATGACTGTGGAATGCTACGGGACTGCGTTTGTGGTATTTCGTAACATGTCCTGTTTGAATCTTGGTACCATCTTTGTCGACGTATTCTTTCAGCTAAAGAAAATTCTTCAATGACCTGGCCTGGCCATTCCCTTGTGATATTTTGAAATGCCTACACGCGTTTTGCAGGCACTGCTGGGGGCAGCAAATATGTATCTTCAGGGCAGGTAGGAGAAGGGGAAGTAAACTCGCTTTGGATTGCAAGGCACCCTAAACACTACACCCTGAACCATTCACGGTTCCAGTCCCAGGCTGATTATCCAGCCTGATCAAGTCAAGCAGCTCCAGCAGCAACGACATCTGACAGGGATACGGATGATAGGATAATGGAAAATAAAATGGAAACCACTGTAGTATTATAGGATATATATATAGGGATGATATAGGGATAATGGAACACAAAATGGAAACTACAGGGATTATAGGGATTATATGGGTACCTCTACACCAGCCTTGGAAGCAAGATCTGCTGCATAATTGTTCTAGTATCGTCTTGGCAGGTTAGGAAGGAGGATCTATCCAGTTTGGGATTCTGGTTGCAGCTTGGGAGTCAGCTAGACCAAGATACCCCAAACCCCAAATCTACCCGTATTGGGTTTTAATTGAGAATTCAAGGGTCGAATCGCTCATCCTTGGGGCCTTTGGGCTTCCCATCACCAGAGCCACTGGGAATGGAGGTCCAGAGTCTGAATCTACGGAAATCGGGTCACTACTGTACGCTTCTTCAAAGGAACTCAAAGTGAAAAGAGGCTATAGAGGCGCGCCCACACCCTAAACCTTGAACCCCTGCGCTGACTTTGGACTGAATACAGACCCTTGCCTCCATCTGCACGTGCCACAGAGGCAGAAGCAGCAAAGAGCAGAGGTTTGAACATGGCAGCTGCCATGGCCAAGGGTTTAGTGTAGGGTTCAGGGTGTAAGGTTTGAGGTTCAGGGTTGTGAGCCCTGAGCCCTAAACAGGGCTCAGGGTTCTTCGGGCTGTGACAGCGATGGTACTTAAACTTGTAGTGCCGCAAACATGCACAATGCCATTTCCCCTTGTGCCAGAATTTCTGGGATTTAGGGCTCAGGGTGTTGGATACAGACACCACCCCCTGATGCCAAATATTTCTGTATAGGAGCCCATGCAAGTTGAATATTTACTCAACACCCGAGGGTGGGGGGACTGCTACAAAACTGGGGGCACTGAACACTGAACCAGAAACCCTCAAGGATTACCTCGCAGGTGGCGGCTACAGAGATTGGAGTTGGAGCTGTAGGGTTGCTGGCAGGGATCCTTAAATTCAACCTTTGGGCGGCTATAGGTTGCTTCAGCAGTGAAGATCTATTGCCCAGACCTGGGAAAGTAAACTGCTAGCGCGTAGGTGCTTGGGGTTTAAAGGGTTTAGGTAGTTTAGGGGCTCCTTACTTCTAGGATTAGGGTTTAGGAGTTTGAGAAGTCATGCAAAGTGTCCTCTGCCGTCAGGGATGGAGGATATAAGTAAAGATGACAAGCCATCAATGGCTGCGCAGTCAACGTCTACTCCGTTTACCAGCGAATCCTTCGGAGAGGTATCGGCTGTGTTGGGAGTGCGCCACACACCAAACGATCACTGCATTCATCCACCATGTTTTACATAATATATATGTGCATATACGCATACAGGTACATGTAATATGTAAATATGGAAATACACCTATTATACATCTGAAAGTACATGTATGAATGTATATATATATATATATATGGGTACGTGTATATATATATATATGTATAACAACGGTTCATGTTCAGAAAATACATCACCGCCGAAGTCCCGCAATCTTGTTTCCACTATGTGGTCACTTGGCTTGCGCCGCTGGCATGGTTTGCCAACCGGTGAAGCACTGCCAGGGCGACCAGAAACCAGCCGAAGCTCAGGGAGGCATTCCTTAAGTCGCTAGGTTTCAGGAGTTCTTGAATTCTTGCTTTTGACGGGCCGCAACAGCTTTAGGGGCTTGAGAGGTTTTAGGGGCTTGTAGCGGTTCAGGGTCTAGGAGGTTTAGGGTCCGATGACTAACCACAAACCTCGCGGCACGCAACATTCCATCAATGACGACTCACTTAAGGTTGCATTCGCGGATCTAACTTGAACTCGACGCCCTCGAAACTGCTTAAACCCATACCCTGAGCCTCCCAAACAGCAATCATTAAGATCTGAAAGTCCCAAAGCGGGGCTTTGGAAATCTTTGGTTTTATGTTGGGTTTAGGGTAGTTTGAGGGTTTAGTGGGGCTTGAATAGAAGCCCACACCATACATAGAACTAGTCTGATTCTTGGCAATGTGCTGGTTAGTAGACCTACAGCACTTGGAGCCCATATGGAAGAGTCTCAGCGGGGTCGAGTTCAAGACCTAGAGGCTCTTTTTGGGATTTGCTGATACTCGTGAGACGCTTGCAGGTGATCAGCCTCACAATGGGAGGCTCTAAGCCGTGCACCACGCAGTCTGGGTAATGGCTAGGACTGGAGTGGTTGAGGTCTCGGCCTAGTGGTCTGGGTATCGGACAAGTCCTCACTTTTGTTCATTTGCGTCTAGTCCTGAAATATCCTGAGTTCGAAGCCCGAAGCTCTGGATTCTAGACACGCAAAATTGTTGCTTTCACGATGGCACAGTGTCTTCCCACGCGGCGGCACCGGCCCAGCTGCAGCTTGGGAGCTGTTCGAGGGAACCAGCCCTGGTGTGGGTTTGAAGTATGTGGTATAATATAGTACAAAATAATAGTATATTAGAATGGGTTATATAAGGCTTATTGGATCAATCGAGGCTTGGGGGCAAGGGTTTAAGCTTTGAGGAATATCATCTCCTTCTCGGACTCTCTATACTGAAAGCCACTGGGATTTCGCCAAATGGCTCAATGGTGAGCTAAACAAACTCAGATGCAAAAAAAAACTTATCGAGTTTCCAGTCCATCTATGGTAGATCCCCATAGCTTTGAGATGTTTTGAGACATCCACGACACTCGAATTCGACTGCCACAAAGTCCCTAACTTCTAAACTTGAAACACGCGCACCTTAAACCTTGAACCCCAAACCTTGAGCCCAGCACCCTGAACCCTCAGCTCCACACCATAACCCCCACTTCCGAAATGTGTTCCTCCCGCCTGTGGCTTTGGTCATCCATGCGGAGACGTCGTGGTAGTCCTGAAACGAAGACGGCCCATGCTGTTGTTTTTTCATCCTATTGCGGTTGCTCTAATTTCTTGTAGGATCTCGTAGTACGCCCACCTGAACACCACGCCCCAAACAAGGCTATGAGGTTTAGGGATTTAGGGGTTTAGCATGGTTTAGCAGCCCGGGTTGGCACTAGAACCCTACAGTGCCAATCCAAGTACAAGTGTCAGGCCTCGAGGTCAGACTATGTCGCCAAGTTAGTGCAAGCTTGCAAGCCCTCGACGACAGTGTGGCCTACACCTTGAACCTGTAACCCTGCTATCGCGAGCCCCTACGTAACCCTGGGAGCCTCTCTTAGGTGGCTGGATAAGCCCGAAAAGCATTGGGCCGAAAGATGAGATCTGCAGCTGGGCGTCGTATGGATTGGCATTCTTCCCAGACTGCCATCTCTGCCAAGGGCTTGTGGAATTGGCGGGCCAAAACAACACGTAGGTCGGCAAGTAGTTGATGTCCCACCTTGACCATTGACAAACTTCGCCAAGCTTCACCAGAATCTGCAAAATGCAAACAACACATATCCTAGGTTGCAATCGAAGCTCTGTAGGAAGGCACGGATGCTCATCTGCTCAGTCTCCACTCGAACCTTGCCACAGCAGCCCGTGGGTGGTACTTGCTTCACTGCAAAATACTTCAACAAGCTGGGGGCTAGAAGGAATAGAAGTGATAGCGACAACAATGGAACTACTAAAAAAACCCAACACCCTCAACGCTAGAGTGCGCTTGCTCCTGATCAGGGCAATGGATTTCTGAGGTCCCCCTTTCCTTACCTTCCAAAATCCTGCTGAACCCCAACTTGCAATCACAAAATGTCGCATGCCAAAAGCCTCAAGAACCTTACTTAAACCCAAAGCTCCTGCACCCCGAATCCTAAGCCAATAGAGGCGAACTCCGCAACTAAATCCGCATGTCGAGAAACATATCTCAAGGTCGGAAAGGAGCTTGCGAGCCTCTGCTCCGTCAGAGCCTCGAAGCATTCGCAGAATGCTGGGTTTAGGGGTTTCGGGTCTAGGGGTTTGGATCCTAAGTCTAGGTTTGAGGGTTTTGGATTTTAGCATTTAAGCGTTCATGAGTCTTCAGGTTTAGGGGCTGAGGCTAGGGGTTCTGTGGGATTAGGACTGAGGGCCCTTCTAAATCCTGAGGCGACACCCCCAAGACCACAACAATGGGACTCTTCAAGGGCGAAAGGACATGCATTCCTCAGCTGTATCTCAGGTAAAGGGATTTACATCAACATGCGAAGCCCACCACAGCAAACAAGCAGACCGAAAGCAGCACCCTAAATCCTCATCTCCAGACAAGTCACAAGCTTTGTAGACTGCGAGAGAGGTGAAGAACTCGAAAAAAATGCCACGACGAAGGGGCAAAGCTCCTCCACTTCCAGGACGACATTCAAATGGGGGCTTCGCAGAATCATGGGTCACGTGCTGTATTCATAGGGCCATCCTGAGGATCTTGAGGGTATCTTATCTTGGTTGGAATTTTGATAACGTGGGTCACAGCGGAAATCATAGGGTTTTGTACAACTCAGCAGAACCCTTTTCCCTTTTAGGTAAGAAGTGCCACCAGCAACTCCATTGCCCAATTTGTGCGATCCTACTTACCCACATTGGCAACAGTTTGCCCGTAGATTTCATCGGCCCTGCGTGGCCTCTGAGAGCAGCACTTCCAGTGCATCTGCGTGACCTTTAGGCATGGACTGTCCAATGTGAGGGCCCCTACCGGCATCAAAGAAAATTCGCGGCCGGTTGAAACCCGGAAGCATTGGCGAGCATCAAGAGAGCTATCAAAGGGAAACTCCGAAATGATGAGAACAAATTTGAATGAGGTGTAGGCGCGGGTATACTATGCTATAAGTGCATAATAGGATTACACTACATTATCCTTCAAGATCAGAGACGCAATCCGGCAACTGCGAGATCTAAGTCGTTCACGTTCCTCGACGGATCCTCCCAGTGTTGGGCACACGACCTGGGCGTTGTGTTTGCGTATCAAGGCTACCGCAGTTTGGTGCTTGGCACCTGGAGCCTTTGCAAGATTCAACCTGTTGGTTTGTATCCGGGGGTTGTACTAACTATCATGAATAATCCAATAGCTGATAATAATCATAGCAAGAATAATAGTAATAGCAACAATACTAACCCCAAAAGCTGAAGGTTACCCACCGCACGGACACGCAAGTCAAAGTCCGTGCAGGTTTGGGGCGTACAGCTCACATATCACAGCAAGCCCGCCACATCCTCTTCAGGAAGCGCCTGGGGTCCTTCGCAAAGCCGGCAAGACAGGAAAGAGTTGATCCGTGGAAATTCCATCGAAAAGCTGGAAAGGGAGGCCAATCCCAGTGACGGCTCCATTGCATGGGTTGGTGTTTAAGAAATATAGAGGTACCCTTGGGGATTATCTTACGATGGGGTGTCTTTTGGGCACAGTCCCACTTCGCTTGGCTACACCCACCACGCTTCCATCAGCCCCTGCTCCGGTCCTGTGAACATCGGCCAGCCGAGCCATTGCCACCAAGTGACTGGCAGGCGACTGGCATTTGATGCAAGACTTGGGAGTAGTTCAGTGTGCTACATGCTTCCATGTGGCTGCCAGGGTATCAAATGCTGGAGTACAAGTGAAGTAAAGTGTGATGATCGGGGAGCAGCAAAAGAATACCGGAATGGAAGCAGTGTGAAATCTGAAATGTGTGCAAACTATCGGCCCTTTGTTTGATTCTTGTCGTTTAAGTGTACTTGTACAAGTTTGGCAGAATTTCTTCTTGGTGTTTGGATAGCGCGCACCATGGGTGGACCGCATGTTTGAAGCTATCGTTTATGGTATCCCTCACAACTACTAAGTTAGAGCCTGCATCATTACTCTGGGACCTAAAATCTAAACCTATCTATTTTTTGAAAGCAACCCTTTTGGGGGAGATCCTTGATTCAAGTCATGGAACCTGATCCAAAATGTGCAGCCTTAGACAAAAATTGGAACAGAATCTGGGGAAATATTTCGGTATCCTTAGATGGGCAGGAGTGAGCTAGAGTGCTCTGTTACAATACAGCTATAATATGTGCGGTTACTATGAAGATGTTTCTTCAAGCTTGAACTATACTTATTCCCCTAGTTGCATCTGAGGCAACAGCGACGGCCCTCGGCATCAAGGGAGTTCCCCAATGCACCACAGGACAGGAGGGCCTTGGTATTCACGAAGGGTGGATTAAGGCTTTCAGCAATTCAGGGTTCAGGGGTTAGTGTTTGGGCAGCAAGGTTCGGAAATTACATAGGAAACAAGGTTTCGAAGGCTTCCAAACCATGGTTCTCTATGTTCTCTATGTTGGAAGGACCACAAGGACTAATTTGAGTGCCAACACTCTAATCTAGGGCATAGCCATTGTGTTGAAGACTGCGGAGCAGAAATATCAGTCGTTTTCCGGAGCCAACTGTTTTGGGGCACCAACTTGAGACGCATCCACCTGCAACCAACGCCTGAAAACAGACACGCCCACGAAGTACTCGGCTGCTATGTACGTTGAAACGGCATCGCATCAACAACTCCGTTCAATGCATGCATGGCGGCATTCGGGACGGGCGCGGAAGATGTACTTAAGCTTGCGTACAGGCCTTCGTATGGCCCCTGAAACGAGGGACATGCAAAGTACCAAAGACAAAGACAAGGGGACTGCAAGACATCGAATATCGTACGGGTTTAGGGCTTAGGGTGTAGGGCTTAGGACTTATGAGGTTTTAGAGCTCATCATGAGGATTTTGACATGCTGTTCTTACAACGTTCTGGCTATTGCAACTCCACAAGTCGCTATTACGGGGTGGGGGGGGTCCACCTAAGGCATTGCTAATGTTGTCTTTCTCGCTCCTTTACTTTAAGCCTAGCCCTGAGCCCTAAACCCTAAAACGCTGAAACCCTGAACCCGAAGCCCTGTTGGCGATACGAGTTTGAAAAAAGCCAATTTTCAAACTGAGTTGCAGCAATATGTATGGCCTAAACTGCTTCATGAAGGCTGAAGATCAAATCCTTGTCCATTAAAAAACCGCACTGTTCTACCGAAAGCCATGGCAGTTCGTGCGAAACTGCGAAAATATTTGCCTGTGTTTGCTTATGGTGTCTCGGGCGCACTTCTTGGGAGTCACGGCTTGGAGTGCTAGCTACAACTTCGGATGTTGGGTGTTGCACACCTCCTAGACAGTTTGGTCTGCAAGCTCCTCGGAATTTCAAGATGAAACTCGCTCAACACAAGAAACCTGCTGCTGATACCTGGAACATTGAGCCCAGCACACCAAGCTCCAGCTCAATCCATGCCAGTCAAGGTCCACCATTTGATAACCGAAAAACACAATTGTACCCACTACACGCCAAAGAAACATTGAAAAAAAAACCGAGCATATTCCCAAGCTCCTAGCACACGGTTGCCACTACTGGAGAGAAAAGGGGAAGCCACCACACTGCTGTAATAGTTTGTCCATGTACTCCAGACGCTCAGATATGCCACTGAGCTGCGCAGAAGAAGCCCGAGGCAAGCATCGACTCACACTAGATGCCCCGGGCACGAAGCAAAGGTCTGCAAATTGTTGAATGGAGGTGTGCTGATAAAGAGCGATTTGTGCGACCTAGATGAAGGCTTGCCGGCCACCTGAAAGATTGCACAGAGATTCTTGACAGAGTCTTCCACATTCGAAGTTCACAGGCGAGGGGTAGATACCAGGGGCTACGCGTTAAAATGGGATCGTAGTGATCACTCGTACGGAATATGCATTCAAATGTAACTGCGAGCTCAAACGGCTGCTATCTCCCAGATCTTGCTGCTGATGGGACTGCTGGTACTTCCATGCAAAATTCCGGCAACAGCTTTCGTGCTTGCTTGAACAACCCAGTGCAGCAGAAAAGCATGCAACGCTTCAAGTGCAAGGCGATGCATGTGTCTTGTTTTGCCCAAGCGCGCAGGTCTAAATGCGGATCTGTCCACCAAACAATTGCCTGCGGCTGGTAGGGCAATGTTTTCGATCTACTCGGCACCATCCGCTGGAAAGGGCGTGCTCCAAAATGTCATTGCCTCCTCTCCCTTTGAAGCATTTAGGAACCTGAAACCCTAAACCCTACAGGCAATGTGCGCGACGAAGGCAATGACTTAGCTGCACAGGTTCCAAACTGCTTTTGCCCTTAGCCTCCAAAATCTTACATTCCTCATCCTACGTTGCAAAGCCTGCTTCAAAGCTTCAAGCAGTCTGGTGGTTTGATTTCTCCTCTTAGAGGAGTTTGAGTGTTCAGGAATGTGCCATCTCACGCCTGCGGCGGCTCAGCTGGGAATGCTTTGGATCTTCTTAGAGGCTGAGGAAATGCAGGCTGCAACGCTGCGATACTTCAGGCGGCTGCAAGTACCGGTGTCCCTTGTGGTCACCATTATAGCAAGAGGGGGGTCCCGGGATCACCTAAGTTATGCTCCTTTATGTCGCTGGCATATCCTCAGGATACCTTGCGCGAATCCTCGCAGGAAGTTTTTAACCCAGGCCCTAAAAACCTGGATGTTGACTCTCATCCTGCTCGCTGCTGTCCTGGATCTTGTTCAAAGGACTACTAATTATGCCATCTCCTCTGTCCGGCCCAATGGTATCCCTCAGAAGAACAATCAATAAATGGTATTTGGCGATTGAAGCAAGTAAGATCACCTTCTCCTTACGAAGCTACAACAACCAAGAAAACACAGCTCTGCTTACCCATCAATCCCAATTGAACTCAGAAGCCGTTCTCGAAGCCAACTCCACCTCCCTCCTTCCAGGCCTCTTCGGGGCTCCCAGGGCTCGCCGGGCCATTAGCCTCTGCCTCTGCCTCTGCAGGAGACTGCTCCAGGATCTTCGGGGAGGACTCTGCTGTCGTCTCCGTGGCAGGAGCTTCAGCGCTCTCAGCAGCCTGGTCCAGGGTGCGCCGGTCGCAGTCAAGCAGCGTTTAGGGTAGACCGGCCTTGGGGTGTAGGGCTCGAGACGTTTACGCTGAAACCCTGCTTTTGCAAACTGTGCTAGGCACCCAAGAGCCCGAAGCACAGCAGCAATGAAGGAAAGAGGGATTTGCCTCGTCCACGAGCTTCTGCTTCTGAGGAGCCTTGTCCCATTTAGCATAATTGGGGAAATCCTTCGGGTTGAGACATTGGGGTTCAAGAGAGCTGCCAGAAAAAAAGGGATTCATTGCTCCGTTTGAAAGATTTCGGGTTTCGGCTGCGGGCTTAGGTTGGGTACGGCCCCCATCCACTAAGAGCCCAGCTTCATCTTGGGTGTTTGTTCCAGGTATACTCTTGCCGCAAGTACCATTTCAGCATGTTCGGTGACATCACGGTCTAAAATAGGCAGGATCTGGAAGGTCCGAATGGAGTCTTCGTTACGATGCGCACATGGACTCTACAATTCAATCCCTCAGCCCTAAAAGAAAATTCACAGCTTTGAGAAATCGGCGTTGAATTCCCCCAGGCCCGAAACGCCCAAACCTCGAAGCCTTCACCCCACTGAGAAGCACACTGGCCAGACGTCCAGCTCGCCTTCTCGCGGCTGCACAAAGGCATGCTTCAAGGCCTCACGTTTTCGGGAAATTGGGGCTTGAGTTAAGAGATGTGGGTTGAGTTTGAGGGTTTGGGCTAAAGTAACTGATTAGGCCAAGAAGCCTGCAGCTCAGTTCGCGAACGCTACAATATTGGCTGCGGGGTTTCGTTTCGAAAGCTCGTGCCTGGGCACCTGCATCCTTCAGCCGTACACCGCACACCTTCAACTCAATGTCCGAAAGCCTGGACCATCACAAAAGCCTCAACTCCTATCGTGAGACGTCAAGGCTGCTCCATGAGACAGAGTTGAATTCAAGTGACCCGAGCCCTGAGCCAAGGACCCCCACACACTACACCCTGAAACTCCCATACCCCCAAAACCCCTAAGTCCTACAGCGCCTACGCTCTAACCACCTCAAACACCCTCCTACGCCTCCCCTTTGAACCCCCCTTTGACATTGATAGGAACCACCCGTACCGCCTCTGCGGCAGGCTGTCTCTGGCTCGGCTGCCAGGTCAGCATGGGAAGAAGGAAGTCCGCCATCTCGAATTGAGTTGTTCGTGGGGCTCTTACAGTTTCAAGCTTGCTGTTGCTTTTCCGCTTACTGGATGCCCGCAAGTAAGTAGGAAATGAAGAAATCAAAAAGACTATGGGAACGACAACATTCTTGGGAATGACATGGGGACTAACGACAGGCATCCATTCCGCTTCGAATAGGTTGGAGAGTGCAAGGTTTGTTCCATGGCAATACGGAGTCTAGTGATACTTGTGGCGGATTGACCAAAAAATATTGGAACTTAAGGGTTTACATCAGGTTTTGGGGCTTTGGGATTGAGTTTGAGGGGTTCGAGGGGTCAATTAGGGCTTTGGGCTGTAAGAGGTCTAGGGAGTCCAAGGCTTAGAGTTTTACTGTGTTTGTGCTGTACTGTAGAAGGTTTAAGGGGCTGGCATTTCTGGAGTTACTGGGTGTGAAGCGTGCATGAATGAGGCTCGAGGGTTTGGGGGATGTAGGAATCAGGGGCTCAGGACTTAGGGACCAAGGGTGAGTGTATGCTTTGGTGCAAATGCAGACGCGAGCCCATATTCCTGAACAATTTTCTTTGCCCTTATCCAAAGATTTGAAGCATCGCCGAGGGGCAACTCAGGTCTTGTAAAGGCTAGGTTTTCGCAACAATTGTGTGGATGTCTTCCCTGCGCCCGTCAAACATGGACCAACATACTTGGGCTACGGCTACGACGGCCATCATTTGAGCAGTGAAAGACGTCATGAAACCCATTTCTAACAGCTTACTGTTGGGTTGTTGGAAGAGGGTTCTGAAACTGTACCAAATCTAAGCAGAATGGGCATCTTGACTTACCCTCAGCCTTAAGCTCTGAACCGAACCCCCATGCACGTCCACTTCTGGCCTCCGAAGCATCAGCTTCTCCCCAGCGGTACTTCTCATGCAAGACTCCCTGCAGAGGCCACATCCTGGCATGTCCGCCAAAGGCTGCTCATGTTAGGGTACTGGGAGTTAGCTGTCATGTAGAACAACAAGAATGAATACGTGTGCGCACTTGAGCTTCTTGATGTGCTTCAGCTTGGCTGCACCGGTGAAGAAGTCCTGCAGAAAACTGGTTCAACTAGTGACTTGGAGGGCGATGGTATTCGGGGAGCGCGAAGTTCTCGAAGGTTGAAAATCACATGATACTGTATGCAAAGGTTTAGACTTAGGGGAGTAGTGTTGGCAAGGATTCGTTATGTTGAGGAAGTCGTTGACGGTGACGTGGGCTGTTTCTCAGCAACCACGCCTTCCCTCAGATCCCAAGTAGATGTTGATGCGTCCTCGCCATAAGAAACCCAAAGAAGGAGTCATGTATTGGAGACCCGAAGCTTTGACCTAGGTGCCCTGAAAAACCCGAAGAACGAACAGTCCTGCGGAACTACCCATGACCTAAATCTCTTCGGGACACGGTTTAGGCGACAAAGGTTTGTCAGGTTCCAGGATAGCGGCGGAAGGGGTTCAGGCTTGGGGAACGATAAGGCCAGGGTAAGGATTTCAAGCTTCAGGCAGGCATTATAACTTTTGCTTTTTCGGGGACAATATTTCTTGGATGTTTATTAGGACAAATGCCTGAAGCCATAAGCCAAACACCCTAATTTCTGAAGACCGCACCCCATCGGTAAACCCCATGCTCCAACTGTATTAAAGCTCTACATTGGCCCCAAACACCTAATCCCGTTGGAAGGGACCCACAGCTGGATGCAGCGCTGTGCTCCCAAACGTCCTTGGAGTATTTCCCAGAGAGAGCGAACTCCTGGGCGCACAGCAAAAAGACAACACAGAATCTCAGAATAGTTTTGGAATGGTTTGGGATTTAGGGATTGGGAAGAAAAGGAACATCACAATAGATACCCATCTACCCCTCTCATCTAACCCGTGCAACCCCTCAGACAGGTGACAAGGGACCTGCTGGGTGAAGACACGACAGACCCAAGCCTATAGTAGAACCCTGAAATCCTTAAGCTTCAACAGCTAAACCCCTGTAACATCCACCCGATAAATTCAATCCCAAAATTGTAAAGCAGTTAAAGCCGACCACGCTAAACCCCCCAAAAGCCCTGAAACCCTCAGCCCTGAACCCCCCCAAAAAACTATATATATAGTCCCTTTATGGTAGTCCCCTATATAGGCCATTATAGTAGTTTCCATTTTCTTTTCCATTATCCCAATATAACCCAATATATTATAATATGTATATATATATACAAAAAAGTCCCAGTATGGTAGTCCCGATATAACCCCCAAAAGCCTTACAATTCACCCGAAAAGCTCCGGCAATGCCGGCCTTCGTCGGCAGGTCGCCCAGCAACTCGGCGATGAGAGCGAGGTGATCCTCCTCCCTGTTCCAATCCTCCAAAGGAACACAGGGGGTTTGGGGTTATATGATATCATAAGGGGATAATGGAAAAGAAAATGGAAACTACAGGGATATAGGGCTTATATAGGGGTTATAGGGTTATATTAAGGTTATATAGGGATAATGGAAAAGAAAATGGAAACTACTATTTAGTAATTATATAAGGGTTATATTGGGGTTAGATATGGATAATGGAAAATGACATGGAAACTATGGGGATTACATGGTTTATACGGGCTAAGGGTTTAGGGTTATCTTGGGGTTATACTGGGATAATGGAAAAGAGAATGGAAACGACTATAATGGCTTATATAGGGACTACCATAAAGGGACCATACATATACACATATATGTTGGGGTTATATAGGGATAATGGAAAAGAAAATGGAAAACTATGGGGATTATACTGTTGGGTTAATAAGGGCTATATTAGGGTTATCTTGGGATAATGGAAAATACAACGGAAACTACTAGATTATAATAGGATGTAGAGCATTAAGATGGCCCTGGAGTAGTTGGAGGCCTAATCTACCTGTAACAGGAAGAAATGTAATTTTGATGGCAATAGTAATGGCAATCGCCAGACTAACAGTAATAACACGAACAATCGCAATGATGATATTCAAAGTAAGCTACAGTACTAGATAGCAATCGTACTATGGGTCCAAAATGATAGACGACAATGATGGTCATTGAGCCTGCCAAAAAAAACAGTGTAACTCATGGAAAGCGAGTAATAACAATAGGCCCCGTTGCGTACTAGGCATACTACTCCCGGTGTTTTTTGAGGAATATATGGCCAATTTCGCAAAACCATATAAGTCGAACATGGCAACACGTGCTTGGCTAGTCTCCAGTACTTTGCACATTAAGAATTAACAATGTGCATAGACTTTAAGGTCACAACGCGTTGGCATGCGGGCTTTCGGTATATGGCTGCTGTAGGCCTACATTGGGGCATGCGCAGAAACACAGAATGGTCACTTTTGCGAGGGTCCGTATGCTCTTGGAACACAAACGGGATTGTGCTTTGGGCATGGATGCTCTGGTCACCTCATGCTCTTGGAGCACATACGGAACCACACCTTCATGCCTGGACCCGAAACCCACACCTGCGTTTCAGATCTTACAGCTTGACAGAGTTATATAGGGTCTATGTAGGGATATTATTACTAGTAGAGGGGATGCTGGAAAAGAAAATGGAAACTACTGTAGTACAGGGTTCTGTCAAGGTTGCTAGGGTTCAGGGGCTTCGGCTGCGGAATGGGCCTCCCCCTTCTTAGGGTCGAAGAGGTAGTCGCCAGTTGCCAGCTCGAAGAACATGCAAGCGGCACTCCAGACCTAGGTACAGATGAATGGAGGCTTGGACCATAGGAAGCTACTCATTATGAGGGCTTACACACACACACACATATATATATATATAGATAGGGACGACGCAAGGATCCTTGTCCCCATTACTGAGTCAGACGTCTTTGAATACTGTGCAGGGTTCCCGGGTTCAGGGGTTAAGGATTTTCATGTTTCTGGTTGCGTTTAGCATCTGAGGTTCTAGGGTTTAGTAGAGCGTGCAGTTTCGCTCATGTACATGTATAAACATGTCTTATTATATATTTATATATATGAATATATCTATAATATGGCATCAGAATGCTCCTTTGGCGCGGCCTATATGGTAGTTGCAAAAAACTTTCCCTCAAAATGGCCGTATGGTAGGTTCCCTTTTTGTTAGCAAGTTAAGGAATAGGGGCACGCCTCATAATTTAGAGGGGGCAAATTCACGGGGGATGGCCCGTGGGGATACGCCAGGGTTCCTTGGACGAAGTTCGTCGACAGCCAACAGGCTAGGACGAAGTTAGTCGAAGGCGGGGGGGCGTTCACGAACTTAGTCCCAAGGCCACAAAAGGGCCACAAGGTGTTTGCGAACCGCGGCCATCAGCCATCAGCAGTCTTCCATTGAAGCAGAACTAGGTTACGAAGGCAATTTCCACAAGCCATGCATAATCTAGGATGTAGCGCTGGAGCTTTCATCCCCTGCTAAATACCACCCACCCCCAAATTGTGTTCTGCAGTATGTTAGGGTTTTGCTGTGATACACAATGTTCAAGAGACCACAGCCTAGGGGGATGCTTGATGTTATGGTAGCGAAGTCAGGGGGCCAAGCTGCTGGGATTATATGCAAGTTTCCGAAAATTGGGGCTACCCTTGTGGGGGTCCCTATAATCAGGATTATAGTATTTGGGGGCCTATGTTGGGCTCCATTTTGGGAAATTACCGTGTATGTACCAGTTCCAGACCTGAACCAGTGGAGCTCGTCAGCAATTCGGCGGGAACGGAGGGTACCACAAACTTAGACAGACTTGGAGCTGCTGTATATGAAGCATGGTACGCCATTGAGTAAAGAAACAGCCAAGTACACTAATTATTTGCCCTCATTTCGGTGCTTATATAGTGGAGAACTCTGCACGTGCTGGAGGACCCCTGAAGCCCTTTCAAGCTTGCTGCATCTGCTGTTTCATCCCACTTCGCGCCGATAATGACCTGCCAACAGGATGACCACCCGAGCGCCCCGAGCGCGCCTAAGGGTTTATTAGGGCTCAGGTTTAGGAGTTTCGGGGTAGGAGAACCTTGAAGTTTCAAAGCAGAACGTCCCTTAAACCAAAGCACTGCAAGAACCCTAGCATCTTTCAGGAACATCTTCCTCACCACATGACAATGACTTGCCAGGAAAGAAGGCGGAGATCCAAGTTGAAAGCTAGCGACGCACAACAAGGACGGGAACAAAAACCTTGGACCTCACTAATACGACTAAACTAGAAGCCCGAATCCCAACTTATCCAACATATCAAGGCCTAAATGCTAATTCCCAGGCCCTTCACCCCCACCAGCCTTGACCATAAGCCCTAAGCCCTAAACCCTGCTAACCCTCAAAACTTAGGCCAATGGGGGGGGGCCTCGGGAGATCGGTACTGCCGGGTCTGAATATCATCAGTTACCGGGTTGTCGACCTGGCGAAAGCAAAAGGGGGTTTAGGGTTCAGGGGTTTAGGCTTTGGAGTAAGTTGGGCCTGAGGGTTTAGGCTTGAGCGCGCCTGCGATCAGGGTTAGGCTATGAGGGGATCAAGGATCTTGCCTTGAAGGTTTTGCCGCCTGGCTACAACTGAAGAAGACAGGACAGGCCAAGAACAATACAGAGGATGGCCATAAGCGTGGCATGAAACGCGATGGTGCTTGCACATGACGATAGACACAACCATAGCAGATGTGGAGCAGTACTTCGAGGAGGAGGAGGAGGAAAGTCATGACACAACCACTACATGATGATAGGATTACGTAACGACTAGGGCTTCTGGCACTAAATGAATAAGAAAGAACGACTCTCTAAGTGTCTATGGCACAGTCGTCCCATGGAATCTCTGATCGGGTTTAAAGTTTAGGCTGAGCTGCCTTTTCCCGACAGCCAGGGATGCGTAGTCCAAGCAGAGCCAAAGACTTTTTCAACCGCCGGGTCCTGGGCTACCGTCATTTCTATACTTTGTCAGGGCGCTCTTTGAGGAACGAAAGAAATGTCTTGCAGAAGGCAATTTTAGATTATCCCCTACAAGGGGTTCGGAGAAAGACCGCCCTATGTATTGTGCTCCTCTTTGTGGAAGCACTAGCGGTGGCACTTGGACCGTCAAAGGAAATGGTGGATATCCAAATTACTACCCTTATCCAGTATGGATTCTCATGACGATCTTCGGCCGGCAAATCGCGTCGCTCTGCGAGATTCAAGAGAGAGGGACAAGCGAAAGCCTTGCCACCAGTCATGCAGCAACGTCGAACAACGTCTGTGCGTTGGACAAATCCAGTTGGAGATCCAAGATTTGTCTGCAGGTTCCCCACAACCCCTACACCCGCAGCCCCCAAAATCCAGATAATTACACTGATATTTGTACCTGAACACCTTCACATCGCAACCAGGGAACCTCAAAATTGACGCGAATTCCAGTCAGCAGCGATGGGTCATGACCCCCCAATGTCCTGTAGCAGGGTCAAGGACAGGCAAACACTGTGCGAAAGAGATGGAGCTGCACGCTTTCGGCAGGCGGATAATTTCTCAAAATTCGGGTCCTAATCCCTCTTAACCCAAATTCCTCCCCTAAACCCAGATTCCTGGATCCGTAATCCCTATACCTGAATTCTTGAGAAACTTCCAGATCATGCTAAGCGGCACCTTCAAAAGCTCTGAGTGAGCTGGTGACCTTTGGCTTGAATCGCGTGGAAGTCAAAGCCATAGGATTTAGGGCTTCGGGCTCAGGGGCTTGAGGTTTACAGACGAGGATGTATGGATTAGTGTCTGGGGCCTAGGGCTTCTGCAAATCACCGCAGGGATGAGGGGCTTTTGCTGACAAACCTTTTCCGCCTGGACAATCCTGCGGTTTAGCGTGTCGGGTTGAAGGGTGAGGGAGCTAGGCTTCGTTTAGGGTGCGGCTTTCGGGGACCAGGATTGGAGGTGCAGGGTTTAGGGTCTTGCACGGGTTCGGCCGCTTAGGGTTCGACATGCTCAAGCTTCTCTGTAAAGTACTACCATGACCAATAAAGGAAGATTGGTATCCAGATTCTACCTGGGCGCTTTCATACCTAGCTGCTTATCTCGACTCCAACCCCAAACCCTTAAAGGCATGGCGCAAGAGATTGCAGGAGGGGTCACGCACACGCTATCGCACTTTCAAAGGGTTAGGGTGTCGCCATCTGCCCGACCTATGGAACTTCCACACGGCTCCTCAACCTTGCAGCAATTGCCATGTGCGTTTGTACACGGTGGTCCGACGATCGGACCAGACTGGCTCCATATCACTAGAGACCAAGAGTGTCAGGCTTCAGGGCTTCGCGGTACAATTTTCAAGACCTAACCCACAAAACTAAATAGTAGGTTCTCTTTTCTTCCATTATCCCTATAGAGTCCCTAAATGACCTATAGTGAAACTCCTAGTCTCCCCTCACGAACCTCTATAGTACGTAGTTCCCTATGTATTAGATAACCCCCGTTAAGGAGTTTGGACTATTTAGTGTTTAGGGTTCACATCGCTACAGCACCATGCTTGCCGCCCCAGGTTTCTGTCCTTAAGCTCTCGACCTTAAACCTCAAACCTCCTGAAAAACTTAAACCTCAAACCCTAAGAGCTGCCCCTAATCCCTCCTGCGGGCGTGGCATTAGGAGAAGGATGGTTTCAGCTATGTACCCGCTATCTTGCTGTTAATACTGTATTACAATTATCTCTTAGTTCATGGCTGTTCATGTCAGGCAATGTTACTACTGGCTGGAAAAAGCCTGTGATGTATAGAGGTCCTATTGAGCTTCTCTCAAAATCAGGGGCTGCCTGTAACAGGTCTTGCGTAATGTAAGCCTCAAACTACACCCCAAACCTCAATTCGACCCTTCCTGAGAAACTCCCAAATTGCGTCTAGAAAGCAGCCAGCCCTTCTCGAAACCCACTCATCAAGCATTCGCAGCTTCAGTGCTGTGCCAGCTTGTTGTGCTCCTTGGCAAGCCTTCTGTATCTGATTTCGTCATTGAAAACCGAGTCTCCGACTACATCAGCATTGCTGATCAAGACTGCTTTTCAAGGTGTAAGGCTGAGCAAGCTTGCAGCTGCACAACTGTGCTGCAAAAATTCAAACTGTTCTGCAGGGCACTCCGTGCTTTGCGAGTTCAAGATGTGGCCCCACCATGCCCCCATGAACGCCATACCTAAACCCTACTAAACCCAAAGGACCTAAACCCTATAAACCCTTCAAAGGAACCAACTCGTAAGTCCAAGCATTTGGGCCACACCTTGGGGAAACTCACTGCCTGGTAATTGAAAAACTCAAACGGGGTTTTTCGAACCGATTAACCGTTGACATGTAAACGGCCCCAGTGAGAAGACTCGGCTGCAAAAGACGTCTCAAGTTTCAAGTATTCGCCAAACCCTAAGGCCCTAAACCCAGGACACTAAACCACCCTAGACATTTATCGGGCTGTGCTCAGTTCGCCTGGCAAGCACACAACAAGAGCACAAAGCAAGCACACAAAGGTTTGGAACTAGTGGCAGGTCTAAATCTAGAGTACAGGGTTTGGGATTAGGTTTGGGATGTAGCGTCTAGGGGTCACGGCTCTGTGCTCGTAGACACTTTGCGCATGGCCCCTAACTTTTACCAAAGCTAACTACTAGGTCTCACACTTCTCAGCACGCATGGGTTCTGCCGAGCCCTAAACATGGACTACAGCCTGGCATTTCTGAAGAAGCCCGCCAAACCCGGCCACCAACACAAAGAAAACATTAAACCCAAACCCTCGTAACCCTGAACCCTCAAAAGCTTAACCTTAAGCCCTCCACCTTATTCCCCTGAACACTGAACAAGTGAGTCTTTCAAGTGAAATCGGCCTTGGCCCTTCAGCTGGACGCCGTTGGGTTGTCCTCGGCCCGACTGTGGGGAGTACAGAAAAGTAACATTCAACGGCGTGTACGTATATCCATCTGGATCATTACAAGGATTCCACTGGCTCTCCCTTAAGCACCACTACGTAGTCACTAGTAATACTGCTGGTATAACATCCTATATCAGGTATCCTATACCTCGGCCCCTGATCCTAGGAATTTGCAGCGATATGGGCTGATGGTGCAGACGACTTCCTCCATCAACTTTATCCTTCCATACATGTGTGCAGTAGCGAAGATACATACCGTGTGTATGCTATAGTCTTCGCGTGCATCCAATTCAACGCACCCATACGCGCATGTGCATGCGTATGTGAATGTGATCGTGTCTGAATATGCGCCTAGTCTGGACAAATATATTCTGTGTACATGCACCTAGGTTAAATGAGCACATACAAAGGAGCCTGCATGATGTATACGCAGCGGTTTCTACTTTGCTCCTGGGCTACACATGGTCACATATGCACACACGACTACACTACACATGTACTCATGGCTACCACTTAATCCTAACTTCTTAAACCCTAAAGCCTGAAGCCAAAACCTCTTCACACTAAACCCTATTTCGAGGGTTTCAGGCGTGTACCCTAGGATTGTACTCCTGGGCTTTGGGATCTGTTTAAGGGACCCTAGGGGACTACATTGGCTCATATAATGGCTATATTGGGGCCATATTGGGAGAACCTTTTAGGGGTACGACCTTAGGGGTACAACCCTGGAACCCTTGACTATTCCCGGCAAAGGAAACGTTAAAACGGACCGCCCCTTCCAGGTATCCCCCAAACTCTCCAGACCCTGAACTTGACCCGTAGCGCTCGCCTTTCCCTCCCACAATCTCAGTCCTGACAACACCTGGGCATGGCCCTTTTTCCTTCTGTGCGAGGCCCGACCTCAGCCGAAGGCTTTTCAGGTTTCAGGGCTTGTTTACATAGGCTCGTACCCTGGTCACGTATGTATATCTGGGATCTTCGCGGGCAAGTGAAAAACCAGCGGGGAGAATCAACGACTGTAGTTGCAGCAACAGCTGTTCTTGCTGCAGTTGTAGATGAGGAGGAGTAAGATGGGAGTCGTAGCAGCATTGTCGCATGATAGTCGTGTCGTCGCTGCATACAAATTGGACTTCATCTGCAGAATGGCAAGCGGGGTCCCAAGCATAGCTCATGGTCAGCCCCCGCGCACACACACAAATCACTAACCTCTTGAGCCCAACAATCAATCTTATCACATACCCACCATTGCCGTTTAGAGTCTGGTGACTGCTCCTCATAAGCCCCTCCCACTGAGAGCAAGCACCCACACACCCGTAATCATTGACATTCCCAATGCAACACTATAATATACTATACTGGGATGTTCAACACTATAGGGATGTTTATAATTTTAGGGGTGGAGAGGATTGTTGTTAGGGGGAGATGACGCTGCCCTCTCGGCCTCAGGCGGCCCTTAAGTACCTGAGCAAGCTGTTCAAAATGCTGCGGGACATGCAGGTAGGATGTAGGGATTGGGGTGGAGGGAGTGGCGCTTAAGGTTTGAAGCCTTAGGTTT